ATATATATATATATATAATTTTTAAATACATGAAAATAACAGCTCTCTGTAAAAATAGAATTAAAAAACATAATTAAATGGAATGTAAAGAATGAAACAGTTTGTGGAATATGATTTAATGCTCCAACCCAATTGACTGTACTGCTCCTTCTGGTGTGCCCGTCTTGGTCACCAAGAGACAGTGTAACACGACAGTCACATGGACACAAACGAAGAAGGATAGCACTGCTTCTTCTTCAGATGTTTTATTTTTTTATGTGTTCTGTTGTATTATTTTTATTTTGTGTTAAAAGCTATGTGAAGCCCATCTGTTCTTAAAGTGCGATGTAAAGAAGCGTTGTATAAACTTCAAGCGGGAGTGGTATTCAACAGCTCGAAGCCTCTTTTGTGAAGAATTGTTCATTGGTTACCAAACTGCTGCTTCTTGTCAACTCAACTCACTTCACAACAAGAAGCCGTTTAGCAACCAGTGAACGATTCTTCCCAAAAGAGACTTCAAGCTGTTTATTGCCTCTCACATTTGAAGTTTAGCGTCAAACTAAACATAAAACATGGAGTGACATGTATTTAAAGCAACCACATAGTTTTACCTTTAGTCTGCTAGTTGAAAGCTAATACTAGCCTAATGCTAGTGCTAGCCTAATGGGAAATGCCATCGGGACTGGCTAACTATTAGCATCAATGCAACGTTGTTCTAACCCAATTAATTTCATTGGTGACGGAAAATTTGAGATGCGAGTGTTTTAAATTAGGTATCTGATTAAGAATTTCAACTGGTACCTCAAGACACCATTGTATCCAAAAAATGTTTTGTCCCTATTATATAAATTGGCAACGGTGGGACAGATCAGGAAATCTCTTCAAAGACTTAACTTGAAAGTTTGTCCCAAATCAGCTTTCATGTGGGACCAGTTTCTTGTAATTCAAATGAGCAATTCATACCTTGTTTCACTTCTCTCCGCATGTCAGTGGTCCCGCCACAGAAATCTGTCATCACCATTCAAGAACCAATGGTAAGCACCAGGAGGACTTCGGACCGTTTGGTACTAAGCCGTGAGTGGGATAATTAGTTGCCCTTGGCCGGGCCGCTGACCTGTCCAGCCTGTGCCCCCACCGGGGTGTGCCCAAAGTCAGCTACGATAGGCAAAAGCTGACCTGTGACAATAATGGAAGGAGATTGACGTGCATACATGGATACGGCCTCACTGTGGCATTACGCTGTTGCTGTTGGATTCAGGATACCGCCAGTGCGATAAGGAAAACGGCTGAGCAGGTCAACAAATTGGTCCAAATCGTCACCAGACCTTCGCCTGGGACCACCTTAACCAGATCGCCAGCACAGTCAGGTGCGTGCTTCCCCCCTAGACAATTTATTTTCTCTGCGGAGCAGTTTTGTGAATCAATGACTTCATTTGAGGAGCAACTTTCAAATTTTGTAAAACTATTTATCTATCCAACCATCCATCCATCCATCATTCCATCCTTCCATCCAACCATTTTTGCAGGTTAATCCCAGGACCTGAAGCAAGGTTTTATTGAACAAAAAAACAAAAACAATTGGCTTTCTTTTTTTTTTTTTTTTGTAAAATTGGCAGTTCTTAAATACACCTTGTGTATACCAGCAAACTGTATTTTTATGCCTAGAAGCAAAGCTAAATAGATTTTTTTTTAAAAACGGATAAGAGCTACTTGCCTTATAATGTCATTTTGAGAATGGTTATTGTGCATACATCAAAAGTGACTCCAAACTCTACTGCTATTATAAAAATCTCTATATGTTTTTGCTCCTCTCTTGCGTTCTCATATTTCCATTTAGCAAACTTTCCAGCGCTAAACGCAGTCCCCCCCCGTCCCGCAGGTACTCACCCCACGCCGCCAGCCGTGATCGTGTCTCAGATCAGCGCTCAGCCCGTGAGCCACCTCAGCCCCAAGAAGAGAGAAGATGAGCTGCAAGTGGGCATGAACATTCTGGGCAAGAAACGCATGAAGACCTGGCACAAGGGCACCCTGGTCGCCATCAACGCCATTGGTGCGCGACCTTTTTCACTGACAACATTCAAAGTGGTGCAACTTGACCGACTGTGTTGTTGTGCGCACGTTCAGGCACCAATTCCTATAAGTACAAAGTGAAGTTTGACAAAGGCAAGAGTCTGCTCTCGGGGAACCATGTGGCCTTCGACTACAACCCCACCTTGGAGAGTCTGTTTGTGGGGGCCCGCGTGGTGGCCAAGTACAAGGACAGCCACCAAATGTGGCTGTATGCCGGCATTGTGGCGGAGATGCCCACCACCAAGAATCAGATGAGGTGCGATGCCAGATGAGGTCAAACGGAAGTTGAAGGAGAGCCGCCGCTTGACTTCCCCCTTTGTCTGGCAGGTTCTTGATCTTCTTCGACGACGGCTACGCTTCCTACGTCAACCTGCCGGACCTCTTCCCTGTCTGCAGACCACGTAAGGCTCCTTGCTTCTCGAATTGGCTCTGCGACTAACATTCATTTTGATCACGGATCAAGTTTGTCGATAATCACTCCTTTATTCAACCATAAATGATGCTATTAATACAATATTTTTTAAATTTCCATCCCTTTATTCAAAGACTTGACACTTTTTCAAATCGACAGCGCAAAAAATGTGCAAACGTAAATTAATGATGATCCAGTTACTGGTTTGGTTACTAGTGGCATTCTTCCACCCTCAACAAATCATGTACATCAATAATATTGAAAATAATGAAAGCCTATTAATTAAAAAAATAAACAAATAAACTCATAGAAATGAGACTTTTGTATAAACTTGTACATTCATGTAGCTCTTATTTTTTTAACCATCGTTACTGTTGCTAAGTGTGTTTTTTTTTTAATTGTCAATTAACTGTCAATTAAACAATGATATCATTGTTTAATTGACAGTGAAGCGTACGTGGGAGGACATTGAGGACGCATCGTGCCGAGACTTCATAGAGGAGTACATCACGGCGTATCCCAGCAGGCCCATGGTGCTTCTTAAAGTTGGCCAGATCATCAAAACAGAGTGGGAGGGAACCTGGTGGAAAAGTAAAGTCGAGGAAGTGGACGGCAGCTTGGTCAAGATCCTTTTTCTGGTACAAAGAAACCACACTTAAATCAAATGAACCTGTGCTAGTGAAACAGCATTGAAGAGCAAAAGTCTGCACGCGACTGTCCAATTGGCAGGTTGTCGCGATGTCAAAAAATTATTCTTATTTTTTTCCCAGCACCAAAACGCAAATTTTCAGGATCACAGCAGCTAATTTTTCAAATTCTCGATGCATGTGCTCAGGTTGAAGTGGACATTCCAACCAGACTTTTTGACAGGCTGTCATTTTTGGGAAATCTTGTCACATTGCTACTGATGGACTCCTACCCAAAAAGTCTTGAGTGCTATCACAAAATGATCAGTTTGAGGTTGTGCATATTTAAGTAACCAACTTTTTGTTGTGGTTTGTGGGTTTTTTTCCCCCCATTTTATCCTTGAAAGGTTTCAGTTTGTCTTTCATTGTACTTGTAAAGGTTATGTAGGCCACGTTAAAGGTGGAAAGTTTCAAAATGACATATCTCTATCTCATTTTTTGACGTCTTGAAAATTTGGCTGTGTGAACACGGATGTGTAGACTTTTTATATCGACTCTCTATTGTTCATTGATTTGGACAAACAGTCGCTCAGCCTCATTTGCTGTGCATCAGGATGATAAGAGGAGTGAGTGGATCTACCGCGGCTCCACCAGGTTGGAGCCGATGTTCAACTTGAAGATGACCACCGCCAACACGCAGGAGAAGAAGCTGGCCGGCCAGCTGAGGACGCGACCCAATATGGGTAACACCCACTCGAAAATGCTCATCAGCGCCTTTGTTACACACACCTGCACGCTTTAGAAATTATGCCTTGACTAAAATTGTAATCCTCAGTATTGATTGACACGATAAAAGAGGTATTGATAGAGGCGTATTGATGGAGGCGTATAAACAGCTTACTGCTAACAATGCATAGCACTAGAGATGCTAAAGTGTAGCATCGGTGCCATTGTGTTGTTGTAAAGCATACAGCAGCGGGATATTTGAACACAAACGGTGGAGCAACGTGTCGACAAATTCTTGCCTGCCGAGAGTGATTCATACCTCGAGTGATTAATATTACCTCGGCCTACTGGGGGAGTTTGGCACTGGCTCAGTACATCCATCTCACGGGTGTCAAACTCATTTTAGTTGCGGGCCAATTTGGAGTTACGTCTTCCATGGAGGGCCGTTGTGACAGGGAAACCACAGAATTATTACCTGTGCACAACAAATCAATAGGTTACTAGTTTTGAAATCAGTCATTTAAAATAGTTGGTTCAATTACTGTTCAAGTGATGGTAAACAAGGTAACGAAATTATTGCAAAATCTAAACGCTATTTATTACACATGACAATTTGACATTTTGGTACAGATCTTAGCTAGTTGACGCACGTGATTTGCTTTCGCGGGCCACATAAATTGACCTAGCGGGCCAGATCTGGCCCCCGGGCCTTGAGTTGGACACATGTAATCCATATGGATGTAGCACTGCCCCCAAGTGGCCAACTTTTTTCCATTTGAATTAATTGTTTTGACTGTTCTTATTCAGTGTAACAGTACACAGGGTGCTGCATTTCTTATTAAAAACACATTACACTTGTTTTTGGGAAGTTGGAATTGCATTTCCATTGTACTGCTTTGCTTCTTGTGTTGCTCTCCAGGTGCACTGAGAAGTAAAGGCCCCGTAGTCCAGTACACTAGCGACGGCCATGTTGGAGCTTCTCCCATTGGAGTTTCTCCGATCAAGCCGGCACCCCCTCAGGGCCTTCTGACACCTCAAATCCAACAGCCGCCAACCACCCCAACAAGCAGTAACCTCACTCAGTTGCCACGTTCCGAGTACGTTGATGTCTATTGAGAATTACAGCCGAGCGCTGTATGCATAAAGATGTACACACACACACACACAACCTCACTAAAGGGAATGTATCCACTCGCATTGAAGCGGCGCCTACCACAGGCAGTTTAGCTCATCTCGTACTTCTCGCTCGTTAAAAATACTCGGCACAGCGTTTGTTTTTAATGTCGCCCATGTGGCACGTGTCCTATTCCAAACTGTAAATCGCTCATTGTCCCCGAAATGTTCACTGCACATGGGCGTGTGCCTGCCCGTTTGGTGAAGTCGTGCACACGGTGGTTGGACAAAACTCGATAAAACGTCTGTTTTCGCCCATGTAGATTTATCAATGATAAGCGATAATCGTCCCACTGGCTCACTTCGTTTTTCTGCCTGTGCTCCCAACGAAGAACCAAACATCAGATGGCCAAGAAGAGCACGTCTCCGTTTGTTCCTGGCGTAGGCGGCACCCACGCCTCTAAAGTCATGCAGTCGCTCGCCACCAACCCCAGCAACGTGCCAAGGTGAAATGTCCGCTGCACAATAATCACAAGAAGTAGCATCGAAGCGTTGAGCTGATCTGATTCTCTTTCCTGAATCATCAGTCCCGCAGAGACTTCCATGCCGGTTCAGTTGTATCCCAAAGCGACGGTGGCCCCCGCCGCCCCGCCCGCGACGGCCCACCCGGCGGTCACCATCCCGCACCAGCCGTCGTACCGAGCCCCGACCGACCGCATCTTCTACATGGAGCACCTCTGCCAGCCGGCCTGTTTGAACCGCGTACGGCCGGCCAAGCGCGACATGCACCGAGGGAAGAACCCTCTCCTCATACCGCTGCTGTACGACTTCCGACGCATGACGGGCCGGCGCAAAGTCAACCGCAAGGTGAGCCCGAAGGAACGCGGGACCGGGACATGGCGAGCGATGCCGCGCTGCCAATTGGTGCTGAACGTGTGCAAATTCTCCCCCACTGTAGATGACCTTCCACGTGATCTACAAGGCCCCGTGCGGCCTCTGCCTACGTAACATGACCGAGATCCAGCGCTACCTCTTCCAGACCACCTGTGACTTCATCTTCTTGGAGATGTTCTGTCTGGACCCCTACGTGCTGGTGGACCGCAACTTCCAGCCGCTCAGGCCCTTCTATTACATCGCAGACATCACCGGAGGGAACGAGGACATCCCGCTCTCCTGCGTCAACGAGATTGATTCCACGCCGCCCCCTAAAGTTGCCTACAGTAAGCGCGCAATGGATGCAGTTAAGGACGTATTGATTCTGCCTTTAGGTTGACAACTGTAATTTAGAACCGAGTGATGGATGAAAGTTGTTCTCCCGCTTTTCAAGGCAAAGAGCGCATTCCGGAGGACGGGGTGTTCATCAACACAAGTCCAGACTTCCTGGTTGGGTGCGATTGCACCGATGGCTGTCAGGACAAGTGAGTCAAGTTGCACTCCATCCGAGATTGATGTTTTATAAAGTTTGTCCTGTAAGATTATCCTTTGGTCCGAGGTGTGCTTAGAGAGTGAGTTTGTACCAATGATCGGGTCAAGCTAAAGATAAAATCGGGAAAGCCAACTACTCGTGACTTTTGACGCAGTGAATCTTGATCGCCAATCGACAAGCAACTTGAGTAAGCAACCAGGAATTGGCCGTAGAATAAAAACAAAACGAGTGCGAAGCTCATCCGGGAGAGGCTCAGAGTCGAGCCGCTTCTCCACTTCAAGAAGAGACAGATGAGGTGGCTCGGGCATCTGATACTCATCTCTGCCTTTGGTTCCAGGTCCAAATGTTCTTGCCACCAGCTGACACTACAGGCTACCGGTTGTACTCCTGGTGGACAGATCAACCCAAACGCTGGCTTTCTGAACAAGCGCCTCGAGGAGTGCCTACCCACAGGGTCAGAATTTTTTCGCGTGACCGGAAAGAGAGGCTCCTCATCACGCATTGACTCACTGGCTTTCGTGTCCCGCATCTGCTCAGCATCTACGAGTGTAATAAGCGCTGCAAGTGCTGCTCTCAAATGTGCACCAACCGGCTGGTGCAGCACGGCCTGCAGGTGCGCCTTCAGCTCTTCAAGACCCAAAACAAAGGCTGGGGCATCCGCTGCTTGGATGACGTGGCCAAGGGCTCCTTCGTCTGCATCTACGCCGGTACGTCACATCTTGCGTTCACACCTCAAGTGGAGAAAAAAAAACATACACAAGGCTACTGTTTATTTCAAAGTCGCTGCTTGACTCCTTCAGGTAAAATCCTGACGGATGACTTTGCCGACAAAGAAGGCTTGGAGATGGGTGACGAGTATTTTGCGAACCTGGACCACATTGAGAGTGTGGAGAACTTCAAGGAGGGCTACGAGAGTGAGGCCCACTGCTCCGACAGCGAGGGCAGCGGTGTGGACATGTCCAGGTTAAAAATCCAGCCGTCTGCCTTAGTGGCAGCAAACTCCTTTGGACGGCAGGGCAAAAAGGGTGAGTCCCCCCCACCCCCCTCACGGTCGGGGCCTGTTACGGTAGCAGTTCATCGTTTCGCTTGACTGCCTGGTGGTTCTTCTTCACTCCCACAGCTGACAGCTCGAGGTCGTCCGAGGAAAGCAACGAGGAAGAAGATAAGGATTCCAAGAGTGACGAAAGCGACAGTTCGGATGACACGTTTGTCAAAGACACCTACTACAGCAGCAGTTCTGTGTGGAGGAGTTACACCACGCGTGGACAAGCCAAAGGCCACAAGGAAGGTGAGCTTTCTGAGTCTGAAATGAGTCACGTGCTCCAAACTTGCAATGTTATGCCCCGTCGTTTGCTTTGAGAGGCTTCTTTAAAAGCCTTATTCCACTACATGGTATCTGCGTAGCTTGACGACACTCTGGTGCTGCCAAAACGGGGTAATGGGACAGAGACTCAGCCTACACACAAATAATTGATTCCCCCTCCAAAATGCCTTTAAATGCACATAAAACTGAGAGGATCATAAAGTATAAGCAAGCACGTACACGATCATCGGCCCATGTCACATAAACTCAAGTCAACTGTATTTATGGAGCACTTTAAAACAACCGGAGCTGTATACAAAGTGCTGTGCATGGAGTATATAATATCATTATTCATACAATAATAAAACATATTAATAACAAAGACAGTAGGGTTTTTTTTTCCCGTCTCCACTCCTGCCTATCGCACTTCAGTCTGATTGAATTCACGCTGAGAGCAACATTTGTCTCGTGAACGCTCCCCCTCCTACCTCAGGGAGTCAAGACGACAAAGATGGGAATCCCGCTGCGGCCAAAGGTGACGACAAGTCGCTGCCCGTGACCGAGGAGACGGGAAAAAGCAAAGTGGCTTCCTGGCTCACCAGCCAGGGAATGAAGAAGGTGAGCCAACACCAAGAAAATCACGGCGATGATGAAAATGCATTTTGTCATTACAGTTGAAATCATTCTGAATGAAGATCTGCGGGCAGCTTTTTTTAACGTGACGTGATCTATTCCAATCTGCCATTTACATGCTGCGCGATGTTAATCTGCTCAGCCGCGCGACACGCCGAGATCCGTGTCACCATCACGTGATTCACCAAGATGGCGTTCATTTGTCTATTGAGCACAGCGGTTGCGATAGTTTTAGCACTTTTATTAAAGCAACATCTTGATTAAAAAAACAAAAGCATGCGCATATTGTTCAAAAACACACTCTTCTACAAACATCGAACAAACTATTTTTTTTTCCAATGTGGCATGTTATGTCATTTGAATCCTGATCCTTTTCCGTTTCCTTCACAGGACTCTGGAGACCTGAAGAGGTGCGTCACCGCTCACCACCTGGAATCAAACGTAACGATCAAACAGCAATGATCCAATCCTCATGTGCTCGTCTTGACTCGCAGCCAAGTGAAGCCTGATACGCCCAAAAAGCAAGACATTACCACTCTCTCGGACAGCGACGACGTCCAGACCATCAGCTCCGGATCAGACGACAATAAGGAGAAAGACAAAGTCGCCCCGGGTGAGAAGAGGGACAAACAAGCCGCATCCCTGCTGATGCGCTCCTAATTTGAGTCTCCCGCTTTGTTCAGGCGTGGTCAAGAAGCAAGTGGCCGTGAAATCCACTCGCGGCATCGCGCTCAAGACCGGCCACGGCATGATGGTGAAGACGGGCGCACCTGGAGGCGGAGCGTCTCAGGGCGGGCCCGGCGGGAAGTCGGGCCAGCAGGGCACAACCGGCGGCGGCGGCGAGAGCGGCCACAAAAACACGCGGCAATTCTTCGACGGCGAAGAGTCATGTTACATCATCGACGCCAAGCTGGAGGGAAACCTCGGCCGCTACCTCAACGTGAGTGAGCTCGACAAAGTCTTTTGACCGAAGGTGATCGCCATCACTTCTCTGTCCTCTCTTTTTGGCGCTACAGCATAGCTGCAGTCCCAACCTGTTTGTCCAGAACGTCTTTGTGGACACGCACGACTTGAGGTTCCCCTGGGTGGCTTTTTTTGCTAGCAAGTGAGTTTGTCGCTCAGTTTACATGCTGACAAGGCCGAGCAAAAGTTTGCCGCTCAAGTGTTGTAAATGATATGTGATAAGTCCTGCATTTGTTTGGAAGTGGTGTTGGTTTTCAGGGGGGGGGTTTTGTGTTTTTTTTGTTTTTTTCAATCACGTCCTCATGTCCTCGTGCAGGCGTATCCGGGCGGGCACGGAGCTGACGTGGGACTACAACTACGAAGTGGGCAGCGTGGAGGGCAAAGTGCTGCTTTGCTGCTGCGGCTCCACCGAGTGTCGCGGTAGACTCCTGTGACCGCACCGCTTCTTTAAAACAAAACAAAAAGCTAGGATGTGTTTGTTGTCTTTTGAGTTAGAGTTTCATGACAGCTATTTTTTTTTAATATGCATTCATTAAAGAAGGTTGGGTTACAGTGGAATAAAATGTCCTTTTCTTTCAGAAAGCGCTGCTCCACGGTGCCTATTTATTCCTTTTTTTCCACTACAAGAGGGAAGTAGGACTGCACGGTTCAATAATTTATTACTCAAGATGATTTTTGCTGACTTGGGTCATAAACACTGCAGAGCTGTGTATGGGACATGCCAAAATCATACATGTAATCAAATGAAGGTAGCACTAGAAGTGACTTGTACTGGTCGATGTGCAATTGTTTGGCCACCTGTCATAAGATCTCAAGAGTTTCATTCTTCTGCTGCATTTGAATAATGACGGAAGGATTGTGGGGACTGACTTTAATTCCAGCTAGCCTGAACGTTCTTGCGCTACAGAAGCGGGATCATTTTCACGTTGCTTTCCAGATGACAATGGAATTCCATAGAAAGCATCAGTCGTGCTCAACATTGCCATTTGCTCATTTAGCCCTTACTAAATATGTTAAAACAGATTTATTAACGTGCCTGGACATTTTTCAACGGAGGAATGTGTTGGCTTTTTAAAAACAATGATTGATCATAATTTTGTGACGGATGGTGCAATGTTAATACTCGGAGGAAAAAACAACAACTTTGAAAGCTTGTTTGCTGTCAATGGAAGCGATTTTTTTTCAGTGGGGGGAAAAAAAAAATTGAGATTTTATTTTAAGACCATATCACCCTGCCGTGTCTGGAGAGGCCACCGGTATCTATTTTGAATCTCGAATCTTCTGCGTAATGTGCGATGTAATCTCCATCAACCCTTTCCCCCTCGAAAAGAAAGTCTTCCCTTCCCTGACAACCAAGTCGGATGGACCAATCACAGCGTCCAATGCAGAAACATTCGACAATCCCCCCCCCCCCCACCCCTACTCATAAAACTTTTCAAAAATACCTACGATCAAGTTCGTGAGAAAACCTTTTAACAAATTTAACTCACTTATCCAACATGTTTTACTACCCAGTTGTTTTAAAGCGAGGCACTGGATGTTTTTCGACGATTTGGTGAGTAAAATGTATATAATTTGTTAATTGAATATAAATGTGATCGACTAGCTAGCCAACGATAAACCACGATAATTGCTCTGGCGAAGGTGCTATGATGAAACCTATATTAGTAAACATAATTAGTTTTCAGACAATGTATTTCACCTTACAAAAGATTTAAGTACCGTTATTTACGTGTAATTAGAAAATAAAAATGATCTGCATAGGCAGCGCACGAGTCCACTTTTTTTTCAAGAAGCGATGATGTTCGAATGATCTAAGACGCCATCATTTTGGATGGAAATTAGTTTGAAAATGCCACTTGATCAATTTTTTTTGAGGGGTGGGGGGCGTACAATCGATTTCATTGAGCGTGTCTGAAAGCAGTGACGAAATACGGGTATATACGTGTAATTAGAAAATGAAATAATCTGTTTATGCCGCCCACGCGTCTCCTTTGTTCAAGTAGCACAACTACGCACACATTGAGACGTTCGTGACTGGCAATGCTTGTCTGTTTTTGCCCGGCGACCAGTCCCGGGTGTTGCCCAGCGGCGTCCCCCAGCAAAGTCGGTTTACAGCCGCTGCCTTCGGCTCCAGCTCATTTTGCTCTCTAATGACATTTAGAAAATGGATTGTCTCTGGACGGCCGCTGCACTTGTATTGGATTCAGATCATCTCGGTATACCTAATGTAGTGTCCCGTTAATGTGTTGGTGAAATTTTTTTTTTTCTTCTTCTTTGCTGTATGTAGGCTGGTGGCGACTCGTGGCGTCACCGTTACTCGTCGCGAATTGCTACAAGTCAATGTTCCGCGCACCTGGTAAGATCATTTTTCTTCTCTTCGTTCTCATCATCTCACTTGAACCTGCCTCACTGTCATATTAAGACCCCGTTAACACGTTTTAAAGTTGAAAAATAAACGAACACGGTCTTCAATTAAACCCTTTGAGTTATGTTGTCGTGGCCCTGAATATTAGTCACGATATAAGTTACAATGCCTGTTTCATATTTAGTGTCTTTCCTGTATTATGCAAACCTGTGAGAAAATATTACTATTGTGTTATTACTTTGACTTTTTTTGCATTTTTGGGGGGCCAGGGGTGGAACCCGAGGCACAAAAAAAACTGTGCACAGCACAGTAAAACTATTTTTGTTGCTGTTCTTACTGGGGTGTTTCTGGTCTGTTTGGCTTAGACATATAAGAAATAAAAAAATGAGTTGCTCATGCCCCCAAATATGCACTTGATAACTTCCCAGTGACGACATCATGAGTTACATCCTGGAGCAGGTCCAGCCTCCTCAGCCCGACATGCCGCGGCCTCGCTTCTCCCTCTACTTGTCCTCCCAGCTGCAGTACGGCGTGGTGGTGGTCTACCATCGCCAGTGTGCCATGTTTCTGAGTGAGTAAGCGCTCACGTCACACACACGCACTCCACCACTCTTAACTCTTCCACCTGCAGCCATTCTGAGAAAAAAAAGAAAAGAAAAAAACACCAGTCAAATGTTTCTCCCAGAAACTGGAGTAATTGTGCGTTTTGTGAAGAGAAACATATGAAGCAGTAAGGAACTAAGTGGCAAAAAGTGGTTTTACATACTGTCCCCCTTCAGAGGAGCTCCAGTCCCTTATTGGCAAGCTGTTGAAGTATAGCAGACCCAAGAAGTTGGACATGGAGGACTCGGGCAGGTAAGGCCTAACGTTGCACATCTGGCGCATTTGCCGGCAGTGAATAAGACGGCGTCTATTTCTGTTTCATTCTAGAAAAATGATGCTTTGCACGGACCCTCTGTCTCTCCTGGATGAGATCGATGGGCCGCTGGACCCACTATTTGGAGAGATGGGAAAGTTAATGCCAAGTCCCAGCACTTTGATGCAGGTGCTGAAAAAACATACCCTAATTTCCGGACTATAAGCCGCGGCTTTTGTCACACGCTTTCAACTCTGCGGCTTATATAATGAAGGGGCCTATATACCGATTTTTCTAATGGCTGTCAGGGAGCGCTCAAGGATAAAAGTTAAGAATGAGACAAGTTGATATATAAGTGTCGAAGAAGACGCTATCATCCGTCACACCGAAAACAACCGGCCATGAGAGGGCGCATTTGACCTGTGTTTTGCATCCACCAAGGATTACGATGGCAAAAAAAACCCTTCCAAAAGACATTGTCGTGAAAGTCGACACAAAAGCGTAGATGGTAGAAAACCGAATGAAGGAATGGTTGACTGAGTGTTACGGCAAGTGAGGATTTTTTTTTCATGGAAAAAAAAGCATTAGTCGACAACAAACAGTGCCTTTTACGTTTTTTTTAACCAGACCTGTTGATGCTATTTTACTGCCGTGGTGCTGCCGTGTTACAGGCACTATTTGGAAAGAAAAGTTAAGGTATGTTATTAAAACTTTGAAAACGCTTACTGTGTACCGTCTTTCTTTGTAAATATCTCAGGTTGCAATGTGGGCACCTGCGGCTTATAGACAAGTGCGGCTTATGTGTGTACAATTTTTATTTTTTCCTTTCAAAATTTAGTGGACTTCTAATCAAGTGCGCTCTATAGTCCGGAAATTACGAGACATATGTTTATTGATGTTTTGTGCTTGGAGGAGGTTATACAAGAACAGGAAGCTTGTCGTGCCGCTTCGATGTCTAATTGTTCCATTCACGTTGTGTTTGTGTCTCAGATGGAGGAAACCCCCGAGCGACGAGCCTCTTCTACAGAGCTTGAACCCTCCCCGGCCCGTTCGCCTTCACCGATGAGCAGTAATAGCAACTTACCATCATTCCATTTTCGGCGTTGCTTGTCCTCATTAGCATCAAAATGGAGCTGCACTCTTTTGATGAAAGCTTTCCATGATAGGCTGCTTGAAAAAGTTGAACATGTTACGAGCATAACACAGAAAAAAAATACGTGTCCGTTTGCAAACAAAGAGAATCTTTTCTGTTCGATGCTTCAGCTCCATGTTGCTAAGTTGCGCAGGGGATCCTGATGTCACATTGACACTGCAAATGTCATGCTGATCAAATGCTTCCCACGTGATATGTGACTCTTGGTTTTGACCCTCTCCCAGGACACACCGTGTCTCCACAAAGCATCACCATCCAAGAACCCGCTGTCATAGTTTTCCCCGAGGTACCACACACACACACACACACACACTCACTAGAGTGGACAGGAGTGGGAAAACCTTCAGGCTTACGTTTGATTTGATTTGGTGTCTATCGGCAGTTTTTTGGCCAAGAGCTGGACGACAACGTTGACCTTATAATTGAAGCTCTGCAGGCCCAGCCTGGCGACTTCCTGACCGGTGAGCTACCGTTTCCCATGACGCCGGAAGGCACGGCAACCGTCAACTTCTCGTCTATGCGTCCCTATTCAGCGACAGAAGATGCGGCAGAAGTGGAGCGAGCGAGGGAGCCGACGCTTGGGAGTGAGGCCACAGGGACCGCCCTCACGTAAAGCCAAATCTGAAAGACGACACACATTTTACACATCTACGCACATAGATGAACACTCAGATAAAACGATGCCTGCTCAGACGTCATCCAAATACTGGCACTGTTGGTCAAAGGCGATTTTGACGAATTTGATCAGGGAACAGGCCAGATGCATTCTGAGCTCTGCACACGTGTGTGGTGGAGATCAGATTTATTTCCTTCAAAAATACAGAGCTGCCAATTGATCCGGATTGCTCGTAATGTGTTATGCAAATGTCTGAACGAGATCTCATTACAGCTGGAGAATGAGGTGAATCGGGTATTTAAAAAAAATAAAAATCACGGTTCACAGAGTCCAAAAAGGTTAAAAACGAACAAAAATATTCGGTAGATAATTGCGATCTATATGTTTGAGAACACGCCACTTCCGCTAGTGGCTCCGATGATGTAAGCGTCACTGTGGAAGCAACACATATGGATGCTAGCAGACGAGTCTGAAGTCAGCTGAAAGGTCACGACTTGACTCGACCCGATCGCTGCTAGTTTTCATAATTTTCACATCAGCGGCGACAAACGCAAGCCGATGTGCCTCTGCCATGTGGAGATTCCAGCATGCAATGAAAGGTACACTTTGATTCGCCATGAGTGAAGTTAGCTGTGACCACTCCCACAGGTGCGCAGCCCTCCTTCTCAAAGATCCACCGTCCTGAGCTTGTCCGCGAAATTATCAACATTGGGACTAACCCCTCAACCTTTTTTGCCCTATGAAGCGGTTTAATGTCAGACAATATTTTCAGGGACGGGCCTTTAAAGCCGGATAAGTACAACAAAATAATATGATATGACCTGCATGAAAACTGTGGTATTTTCTAAACATAATAATAAACGTCCTATCTGTCCGCAACGCTCTCTGGTTGGATTTACGCATGTTGCGAAACTATCCATCACTGTGACCGTCATTGTTTAGAGTGGATCCCATGACGGCATCCGGCCAGGACCTCATCTTGCCTACCCGGGATGGATCCCCGGGGATGCCTCAACACCTCGCTGATCAAATGACCCCCGTTGCTCCCCCCCCGCCATCCTCGTCATCTCCGATGGCTGCGGTGCTGGGTCCAGACATGAAGGTACAAACCTGAGGAGGCTCGCTGGTCCGAATAAAAAAGGCGATGATGATCATATTTATTTTGTGCACTAACCGCCAACTCGTAGGGGACGTTCCTAGTCACGACTGTCTAATATTGAGACAAGTGGGAAAGAGAATCTTATTGACGGTCATGATGTATGATGATACAGTGATAACTTATATTACAGCCAATATGTACAATATATGAAATTGTAGGTTTGCATTCAGTTTTGTCAGGCCAAACCTTCTTGGCCCTCTTCCCTCCACCGTGCAGAAAATTAGACCGGTGCTAGCATTCGGACCACCCATGTCATTTGCTCGTCTCTTTTAAAAAAAAAAAAAAATTGCCGGAGGGTCCAGAGACGTCGCCAAAAAAGCGAAAACGTCAGTCACACTGCGACACTTGGAACAGAAATGCTAGCTCTTGCGCGCGACGTCCGCTCGTGTGCACGTAAAAAGCACAACTTTCGAAACGAAAGCTGCGCCTGTTTTACGTTTTTCTTCATGGTCGGTGTGAGGGCAGGTCAGAGACTATGGGCGTGCCAGAGGTAGCCCCCCTGCACCGTATTTTTTACCCAGTCTGACTTCCGACTATCAAAATGTCGATCACTATCATACGCAGCCAAGTGGACCTCCGCGGTTGAACTTTTGCACAATCATATTGCATCATCGTACAAAAAGATCTGAGGTGAGATCATAGAGAGAAAGCGCTGATCTCATGACATCGCTCAAAGCACCTGGGAAGCATCCGAATCCATCGCTTTCATGTCTTTGCCGCCCTTTGTGGGAAGTTGAGGCATTACTCTGTGACAGCATTTGTCATCGCTTTATTTTTGCGGAAGGATTTCAGCTCGGTGGCAACACATCTCGAAGCCAAGAGCGACTACCTCTCTTTGTTTGCAGCCCTTAGTTTTATGGCACTTAGCGCCAAGGTCACGCAACAAAATCAAAGTGCAAAATGTGCGTCTCGTTGGACACAGGTGAGGGTCTCACAGCTTCGGAATGATTCGAACAGTGAAGAAAGATGTCGCGGTGTCGCTTTGAGCGATCTCCCGATTCCTTTCAGAAGTCATTTTGAGTGACAAATGTGATTCCCGATGTCCCGTTCTGGCAACCGGAATGTTCTTTTCTTGGCTGACAAATGACGGCGACTGTTCTTGCATCGCAGGGTGCGCCCCACCCAGAGGAGACACAGCCGAAGAAGAAGAGGAAGAGGGGGAGGCAACTGATCTTCTTGGACCCGCAGACGCAGATTCCCCGTGAGGAGCTGGAGCAGCAGATCAAGGACGACTTGATTGGAACCAGGGCGCAGCCGCTCCTCCCGCCAGAGTCGCACAGGCTGAAAACTGCTCAGGAGCTGCTCAGCCAGCCCTGTGGCTGTCAGTATCGCAAGTCGCGTCGCACTTTCATGCGCCGTCTTTTGAAGTGTCACAAATCTTTTGGCAAGTGGTCACACTGGGGAACGCAGTTTCTGTGGAGTTCGCTCCGATAACTGTTTTGAACTGATTTTTGGGGTTGCAAATCCAAAACGGATCTAAATTGTTCTCTCTCCGCCAAGTGTTTGAGTTCTAAGATCCCCGTTTTCTTAAAAACGATGAAATAAATGCATTCCTCCCTGTCCATGCCAGCTTTCACCTTGGTTCACATTCATCTCTGTCCTCACGCTTCTCCTCTGCCAATAACACCTGCTGCTCTTTGAAAGCTCACCTCGATAACCTTTCCAAAAATATAACACCCAGCTATTTCTCCCTCCCATTCCTCTCCTTCCTACAGTTTTACCTGAAGAGTTACAGTTGCTATGGACACAGGCCGCCACCATCACGCCTCTCGCCAGCACCGAGCTGTGGCCCGCCGGCGAAGGCGCGGCCACCAGTAGTTCTGAGGAAGGGCGTGCGATCGGGCCCGACGGCAGCGGCGCCGAGGTTAGCAAGGGGAAGAAGGGGAGGCGCACTTCTTATTTGGAGGACAGCAAATATGATGATGAGTTGACTCTTGTGTCATGTGCGCGGCGGCAGGTGCCGAGAGATGGAACAGAACCCGAAGCGCCCGTGATGTCAGGTACATGCGCGGAATATGCAACTCTTGTCCCGAGACGACAATAGCCTGACACAGTTTAGCTTTAGCCACGTGTGCTTTGACACTGTGATCTTGTTTTCGCACCGGTTTGAGTCGAAGCACCTGTGGCGAAAGCCAAACTATGCAGGGTCTGTCAATTTTTTAACCTGGATTTGACTCCTCTGTGAAAAATAGGGCTATTTTTCTCCCTGTATTACATGCGTGTGTCTGTGTGTGTGTGTGTGTGTGTGTCAGGTGTTAGTTCACTTCCACTGGAGGGGTCCGACCGGCAGGAAACCCCCAAACACATCTCCCCAATCTACCCACTCGAGCAAGAAAGGTGATTTTCATCGAAATATGCGCAGTGGTGCCTTGCGGTACGAAATGCCACCTGATGGATGTCTCGAGCTATGGGCAGAATTCCAAATACTTGCGTGCTTTCGATCACCACGGCTAGATGGTGCCAGCACACTTCACGAGATCTGGCAAGCTGCAATTCACATCGGTTTTACTTTTGGGGTGGAAGGACACGATCAGTCTGAACCTCTTATCCTCACGAGGGCGGAGCTTATCCCAGCAGTCTTCGGACAGTCAGCGAAGTGCACCCTGAACTGAGGCGGACATGCTCACGAATTGACCACCGTGCCCCCCGTTAGACTACCCCTTAGTGACTTATTTTATCTTGCGCTCAAATATTCAATCAATATTAGTCCTTCAACTAAACAAAAAAAAAATGCTTTTTCAAAAAGAAACGAAAAAGCAACGGACACCGTGGATCAATTGTAGAGTGGTTATCTCACAACCCCGAGGTTGGGGGTTCAATCCCTGGCTATTGTGACCATGTCGAAGTGTTCTTGAGCAAGACACTGAACCCCTAGTTGCAAAACTCGAGGTGAATTTAAAAAAAGTCAAAACAAAGAACAGATATTGCTGCAATCCCAAACTATGCTAAACTGTTTTTCTGATCACATTTTTCAGGTTATATGAACCGCAAATGAGTAACCTTAGGGGCTGGAACGGATTAACTGCATTTCCATTCATTCCAATGGGGAAAGATGATTTGAATAATTTTGCGAGACAAATTTGGTCACAGAACTAAAGAAAGTTATACCGCAAGGTACCACTTGTTTGTGAATATGACGAGCTAGCTAAGGTATGCTTTGCATGACCCGTTTCCATCCGTCAGCGTGTCCCAAGATGGCGCCGCACTGCAGGGGATCCCCGAATTACCAGAAGACAGGTCGGCAAAATCAGAGGAGTCTGTTACGTAATCATCATCACCTGCTTCTGAGCCGCACTCCTGTCAGATGAGTAGCGACGGGAGTGCGCGTGTGATCGTGTGCACTTATGTGCGCGCGTGTGTGTGTGTCTCTCCAGGCCGTTGTCGAGCGAGCTGGAAGATAAAGCTCTGCTTTTCCATTCTCTCCTTCCGCCAGAGCCCGACCGCAAGACTGTCGGCAACGTTTTCCAGAAGCTCCTTGGTAAGATGACTGTTTTCAACCATTAGCCAAGTTCAAAATGATTGACTGTGATTACAAATGCGATGTTTCCCAACCTTTAATTGAGCCGAGCCATTTTACATGAGAAAAATCCCACCACGCCGTCAAAACAAAATGGCTGAAATAATGACAATCTCAAGTGACACAAATTGACAAAGGGCTGGCAGAGTATTTGATCGTGATTAGTGATTGCGATAAATTACCGCTCGCTCACGAGGTTCAGCTGTGGGCAAATATGCTCGTAGTTCGAGCTTGGTGGAAATGTGCGTGAGCAGTCGGACCTTTTCCTGCTCCACTTTTGTTGTGTTGTGTAGCTTGTTCCAGAAAGGATTTGTTTTGGTTTTATTTTGTTGACGATTGTCAGTGGAAATTCCAAAATAATCGACCTCGCGTTTAAAGCCACGGAGTTCAAAGCGGAGGGGAAAAGTAGCGGCTTCTCGTCCCGAACGTTGGCGACATAGATTGGTGAAAGGAGATTGACCAAATTTGGATTTGAAAGTTTTGGCTTTGACCCCGACGACGTAACAGTAGACAAACATATCAGAGAGAAAACATAAATTGCGAGAACATCCACAATGTGTGATTTTGACCTATTTGGAGATTTTTCAATTCAATGCGATGCTTGTGCTGTTGTTGTGTTGTAGATATTTTGGCGACTGGTAAGTTGCGTGCAGAGCAGGTCGAACCGTACGGGGACATCGTGATCCTACCTGGTCCCAAGTACGACAAGGAGCTTCTGCCTTAGTGAAGCACCCCCCGACCCCTTTCTTCAATCTGTTCATTGTTCATCGTATCCGTTGTACATTTTTACACATTCTGACTTTCGGAAATACTAGTTTAAAAGTCCCAAAAGAAATTTCGAAATTGTAACACCATGTAGTTTGTTCGACATTTTTACGTCTTCAGATTTTATTCATGCTTGTTTCAAGGCAAAACATTTTTCTACATTGTATCAAATGTAATTGTTGTAAGTTTTTACATCTTGAAAGCGACCTGATGTTTGTTAATTGTTGTAAACGGCAATGAGTTAAAAAAAAAAAGGAACTGCTGTTGTTTTTACGATAGTCGCAGCAGGCTGATTGTAACAATCTTGACAGGTGTTTTTACATGCCACACAGTTTGCCCACTTTTTTTTAAAAAAAGTGTAAGAAATTCACTGTTGACTTGACATTCCCCCCCAATAAAGTTCAATCCAATGTCATGCGAGCGTGCGCTGTGTATTGTCAGCTATGTGAGCGATGTCCATCAGGACAGGTGTGCCAAAACACAGGCGAGGTTAAGGAGGTGCGAGGACGGCGGCACACCCCACTTTGCCCCCCTCCGGCCACATCTTGATTCTTCCTCCACTCCAAGAGGGCTTGTCAGCGCCACTGAGGTTTATTATTAGTTTCCGCTCCGTCCTGTTGCCTTCTCTCACTTTTTGCCCTTGGAGTTGCCGCCTTTGCTTCATGCGCGGCGTTACCGTTCCTCTTGTTCCTGCGTACTTTTCTCCCTCCGCTTTTGATGTGATCTGACAATCTCTAGCCTCATTTTTCCCTCAAGTGGCGGCGGGCCGATTTTTCTTCCTCCATCCTCTCCTGCACACAATGGGCAAGACGGCGCTTCACTCTGTGTACAAAAGCTTCCTGGATTGTCTCTGCCTCTGCTTGTCAGTGAGTATCTCTTTGTGCGTCCATTGTGGCCTTGACCTAAAACCGTCCATGCATTAGTTCGTTGCGAGTACGCACCTACGGAGTGGTCGTAGTATGACATGCTCCCGCGCGCACGCTGAGGCTTCCGATATTAATAACAGTTGCCGAATGTGGATGGAAATAGAGCCCTGATGTCTCCAAAGAGCGTCAGATGTCACATCTTATTAACCTTTTGTGTAAACAAGCTGGAGTCATGCTTTGAACGTTGTATCCTCTGTTATTAGTCTCATCCACATGCCTATTTGGTTATCAATATCCCACTTGTGTACACCAAACTCTTGACTTTTCCCAGCGAGGAAGTCGTGAAGCAGCAGCAGCCGACGCCGACCGAGACACCGAGAACGGCCACCTGGCCTACAAAAAGGGGGACGTCCTCGAGGACCGATGTAGGTAACAGTTCAGCGTTTCCTCCATGATGTTAACACGCAGTCATGTTGGTCTCGCAGATGAGATCCTGGACACGCTGGGCGAAGGGACCTTTGGGAAGGTGGTGCAATGTTTGGACCACAAGAGGTAAAAAAGGTCCCATCTCCTCATCAAAATCGTGCGCTCATGAAAGATGAGCTACAATTCGGCAAGTGGGAGGTTAACTCCTTTTTCTTGAACGCGCAGGAGCGGACGTCAAATTGCTCTGAAGATCATTAAGAACATCGAGAAGTACAGAGAAGCGGCCAAACTGGAGATCAACGTGCTGGAGAAAATTAGCCACAAAGACCAACACAAACTATAGTGAGAGGTTTCTCTTTCATCGCACATTTCTTCAGACACGTCACGCCCCGATTATTAGCCAACTACGTATGTTCTCCCCTAGAAAACCCACGCAACACAAATAGATGCCTCAAATTATTACTTTTACTCGGACATGGTAGCAAAACTTACCACCTGCAGTGCTGGTGGTTGCAATGTCACTTTAAGAAATATTAACCCCAAATCGTGGGTTCTGAAAAAAAAATACCCTCAGGATTGGGAACATGTGACATTTACTCTGTTACGTTTACTGAAGCTTTTTTTTTTTTTTTTTTTTTTTTACAAAATTGACTTGTTAGTGGGCGGCCCAGTGGGCCAGTGGTTAGCGCGTCGACCTCAATCAGTTTGCTCTGTCAAAAAGAATTGTGTCACATGACTCTTGTTTCACCAATGTACCAGTCAATGGGTGTCAGGGTAATGCAACTGTCCATCCTTTTCTCCTCAAATCCAGCCACTGTGTGCAGATGCTGGACTGGTTCACCTACTACGGCCACATCTGCATCTCCTTCGAGCTTTTGTCCGTCAGCACCTTCGACTTCCAGAAAGGCAACAACTTCCTGCCTTACCCCATCCACCACATCCGACACATGGCCCAGCAGATCTGCCGCGCCGGCAGCTGTGAGTCCCAAGTTGAAGCGTTGCAAGTGGCGTAGCCACTTTATTTTTATTCCTGACTTGCTTGTGGATAAATGTGTCTGATGTCAGTAAGAGGATTATGAAGTTGGGAAGACACGGGCTGTGATGTGGGGGGGGGGGAGCAACTCTAAGGATGAGATGAGATTCTAAGTGTGTCTGAGTTGAACTCAAGTTCATTAGGGCTACAGTAATGAGTAATATGGCTAAACATATCATGATTGCGCTTCATGTAAGTAAAATTGAGATGAACAGTTCCTAAACGATCAAAAAAATACGAGGGTTTGTGATGTCATCACATTTTCTAACATTGACACCAACCCTTGTCAACCAGAAGAGGGCGTTGTTGGCTTCCGCTCTATAAATCGCCACCTAACACCCCCCACCTTGCCTTCCTTCTCTTTCCACTGCAGTTCTCCATGACAACAGGCTGACTCACACCGACCTGAAGCCAGAGAACATCCTTTTTGTCAACTCTGACTACTCTGTCATATACAACGCTGACAAGGTTAGAAAGCAAAAGCAGACACGCAGGCCGGGATAGAAAACTGAAGGTTAGAAGAGAAAAAAAAAGAGAGAAAGACAGAGAGAGCATTTTCTTGATTGTTGCACTGGTGAATGCGACTCTCAAAAGGCTCAGCATCACCCACTTAAAATGTATTTATAGAAATATGTCAATTCATGTATGCTGTCGGTTGTGTTGACCTTGTTGTGGCATTTTGCCGAGAAAAATATTCATATTAAATAGCACGACGGCCATTTTTCAATCTAGCCGATTGTCAACCGAAAAAAAAAAAAAAATTATCACAGGCTACCCTCAAACACATTGTTGCTTTGGGTTTGGGCTCAATCCAAATCAGAAGGCTCGGGACCAGATGGATTCACGCAGTGGGTTTTGTGAACTCAAAAAATACCATGAGAATTCAGCTAGCAGGCAAAGCTAATGTGACTCCTCCAAGAACATCCAAAATGAGCTGAGTGTCAAATTTGTGCGTTTGACAAATGCAATCGTGGATCAGCTGACACTTAGGTAATTAAATTCGACTGTTGGCATACCGGAAACACTGGGACTGGGAATACTTGTGGCACTGAAGCTCTTGGAAATGGAAACTCAAGATACACTTGAATGCCTTGGCCATTGGACCTGGAAAAACATTTACATGCACTGCGATGGCAGGAACGCTGGATCGCTTGAAGCACACGAGCCCATGGAATTCTGGGAGACCAGAAACATTTAGGTTGAACGAACCCGCGAAAGACTGGAACGAGGAAGACGAGTGATGTTGAACATTCAGAACTTGAGGAACACTTGGGACACGAAACGAGCGTCAGTGGTGGAATATCAAGAATGTAAGGCCCACAAATGCCATTGGGGCTACCGCAAACTTTTTTAACGCTCACAAAAACTGGTCAGACTTGGTCTATTGGAATCCAGTAATATCATAAATACGACACCCATTGAACACGAGGTGGAATACTTGGCAATGGAACGCTTGGACGTTAGGAACACGTCCTAAGGTGACCTTTGTGTACCAAATACGTGGAAGGTCGCAAGAGTTTTTTTAACTTTGGGACAAAACTGGACCACGGGGCCGACTGAAATCCAGAAGAAACAGGAATGTGACAAAGGTAACTCTTGAAATACTCGAGCAACTGACACACTTGGAAGCAGGAATTGTGACTTGCGAGGACCTTGGGTGGTGACCTGACAACTGGAACGTCAGGAATTTGAATTCCGCTTCTATGTACTGACCGCCAGGATTTCTAGGAACGCTTTTGACTGTGAAACCTTGATCACTAAATGGTATGAACGTTTAAACTTGAGACAAGGAGCATGACACTGAGGCTGTTGAACTCCCAAAGGGTGGACTGGTTTTATAGTGCGCGAGGAACTACAATCACACATTTCTAATGTCTGGACCGGTTCTACTTGCTGCGTCTGTTCTTTTTGCAGAAGTGCAATGAGAAGCGCGTCAATGACACCACGGTGCGCGTGGTGGATTTTGGGAGTGCCACATTTGACCTTGAACACCACTCAACCGTCATCTCCACACGCCACTACCGAGCCCCTGAGGTCATACTGGGTAAGGCGCGCGTTATATCTGGCGGTTGGCCACCGTGATCTGACTTGTGTCCTCGGTCCGTTGCAGAGTTGGGTTGGAGTCACCCTTGCGATGTGTGGAGTATAGGCTGCATCCTGTTTGAGTACTACGAAGGATTCACTCTGTACCAGGTCTTTAACCTGTGGCTTTGCACCACTGCAAATCGAGAGCAGATGAATTTGATGTGACATCTGCTTCGACAGACTCACGACAATAAGGAGCATCTTGCTATGATGGAACACATCCATGGGCCGATTCCTCAGAGAATGGTTCGAAGGAGCAGGTAACAAGCGCTACAGGGTCAAAATAGTGGCCTTCGTTGGAATGCTTCTTAAATTAGTCGCTTTGTGCCTTGAGCAAACAAATGCCTTCAGTTGAGTAGGAAACATCGGACACCATCCATCCAATTCTCCGATGCACTTTATCCTCACAAGGGTCGGGGCGGGGTGTTGGAGCCTATCCCAGCTGTCTTGGGGCAGTAGGCGGGGGACACCCTGGACTGGCTGCCAGCCAATCACGGGGCACACAGAGACGAGCAACCATCCAAGCTCACACTCACACCTAGGAACAATTTAGAGTGTTCAATCAGCTTGCCATGCATGTTTTTGGAATGTGGGAGGAAACCGGAGTACCCGGAGAAAACCCACCCAGGCTACGGGAGAACACGTAAACTCCACACAGGGAGGCCGGAGCTGGAATTGAACCCGGTACCTCTGCATTCGCGCTAACCACTGGACCACCGGGCCACCTCGGACACCCCCCCATTCAACAAAAATTATTCTATCCAGGAAGCAGAGCTATTTCCACTGTGGCCGCCTGAACTGGAACGAGTGCTCCAAGTCTGGACGCTATGTCAAAGCCAAGTGCAAGCCTTTGCAGGTAAACTTGCCATCCATCTTTTCAACACCAAGTCAAGAGTTTAAAACCTTAACTTGATCCCTCCTCCCCCATAGAAATACCTGCTGTCACAGGGCAGGGAACACCATCAGTTTTTTGACCTTCTGGAGAGGATGCTGGAGTACGAGCCTTCTAAACGCATCTCTCTTTCCTCCGCTTTGAGCCACCCTTTCTTTCTGCAACCCCAAAAGTCAGCAAGGAGTCAGACACCGAGAAATAGCTACAATATGGGCCGATAGTTTCCCCTTGGAAAGCAATGAGGTTCGCACGGAATATTGCGGCGTACCATACGCAGTGGTACGACACTGGAAAGCGGCGCTAGAAACGGTGCAGTCGGTTGACCACAATGAGTCTGCTGACTTGTTATTCAGAATGGTTACCTCGTGGCAACAGCAGGAATGAATGGCACAGGACAGCGCCGTGCGTTGCACTGCTAACAATGTCACGCTATTGATGTAGCGGACACTTTTTTTTTGCCTTCCCGCTTGCCGTGGGAACATCAGCCAGATCCGGGTTAACTGACCCGAGTTGTATTCTTGAACCAAATCGTATCAGTTTGTAACACTGGTAGCGGGAATTCTGCATTAGGGTGACTGGGAGGGGAAGTGCCCCACCGGATCTCGCAGTGTGTCATCTCCCTCTTGTTGGAAAAGTCTTTCCTGGCTCTCTTGACTTGCTGAACCCTGGACAACATTGGAACACAAAGCTGGACCATAAAACAGATTTACAAGTTGTTGATTTCAACAACCAAACCATGTTGCCTGCTGCATGATTTCCCCCTGCTAGCTTAATGCTAACACAAAAATATTATACGGTTGGTGGCAGTAGTTGCTCATAAAAAGAACATGAGCGGTTGTTTATTTAATTTTGGCAAAAAAATGGTTTCCTCGTAAACTGCGCACACCTGTATTTATTACGGTGTTGTTCGACATGAAAAGAGTGACCCGTTTTCGCAGTTTGTAAGTGCTAGCAAGGCTCCCCGTGAATGTTTTGTGTTGAATCTGTTTTTCCTCGTTCACATTCAGCTCTGCTGCTTTTTTCAGTCGACGACTGCAACTTCGTCGAAACGGGGGAAACAAAAAGGAACAAATGTCACACGACACGGGCGGCTCACGTCTGTTGCCATTGACCGTGGCTTCTTGATGGAGTGCAGAGCGCACACTCAAGGCTGCCATTGTGCGTTCTTCTAACCTTGGTCGAGCCGTGCGCGCGTGTGTGTGTGTGTGTGTGTGTGTATGGGGGGGGGTATACTTATCTGCCCGGTGTCATGTTCTGGCAACTATTGAGCACTATTTGCTGATTAAATGTGAATACAGTGATGCCTTGAGATAAAAACTTACTTTGTTCTGTGACTCCGCTCTGAACTCAAAACACCAACCTTGAAATCATCTTTCTGTATTAAAATGTATGGAAATGCTCTATTGACAATTTTATTTTCGACTTGCGACGTCTGGTTGCAGAATGTTTCATTATTATTTTTTTTAAATCTGTTCGGTTATTTGCCGAAAAAGGTGTATTTTCGACTTGCGACGTCTGGTTGCAGAATGTTTTATTTTTTATTTTTAAATCTGTTATTTGCCGAAAAAGGTAGCAGTTTGTTGTTGATGCTGAAGCTAGCCATCGATTATCTATTGGTGAACATGGATGAGTGGACATTAAATTAGGATGGCTTGTACAAAAGATGAAGGCTGCGGATCTTTTTCCTATCTTGACGAATTCAGTTTCGGAACTCCCACTTCGAATTTAAGGCAAATAAAAAAGTATGTTTGAGGATTAGGAAGAAATAGCGGGTCTTTCTGTGAACAATGCGAAAAATCTAAACAGATAATTTAGCAAATGCTTGAAAAATAGAGGCAAATACCTTTGTAAATGGGGCTACACTGCCAAAAAGCATTTTCCACCCAAACTCCGTTACCCCCCCCAACCAAAAAACAAAAAAAAACTTTGCTTGGCTAACAGCAAAGATACGGGATTGTACTGTATTCTAAAATGACTTGTTAGCACCCGTGCCTGTAAGCTGCGCTTTGCTACGTCATGCACTTGTCAGTCAGCACGTGTACGATGTCGCGTGGTGTGTCAGTGCAAGCTAAGTCACGTTAAGGAGCTAACTTTAGTTAGCCGTCTTCCTCTCCGGTCCTCACCGGGTGGCCTCATCACATAGTTTCTAAACCAGTCGGCCTGATGGCGTGCGTTTCGTAGGCAGCTTTTGTGCGTTTCCCCGCTGAACTCTCAGCAATGTGTGTGCACGTGTTGGGACACTGATCCACATGGAAATCCTCTAAGTGGCTCTTTTTAGCGCACTTGCACGGGAAGCTGTAGCACCATTTTCACGCACAGCTCTGAAGACACAATGTGCTCATCAATCGTGACCAATAACCCCACTTTGTGGCCATCATGTACATTTTGTTGAGCAGATATGATATGTGCTATAATATTGATCAAAGTTTATTGTTCAAACAAGGCTAAGGTCCACATTTTCTTCCAATTTCCCACTGTAGTATTCTGGTACTGGTACTACTCGTGACAAGCGAAAAAATCACGGAATTAAATGTTCAACATTTCAAACAGTGCAGCCTGACACTTCGTCGTCTTAGAACGACAATTCATTTTTAAATTCAGTAGACGTCAAGCAGTCCGGTCAACGGGGCCAAGTCAATGCTTCACAAAGGAGCCGGCTGGTGTCAGTGTGCATGACATCATCCTTAGGTGTCCTTTTTTTTTTTTTTTTTTAAGCCTTGCAGCTGAGCACGTGAGTCATGGGGGTGCGTTACCTGCCACGGCTAATGAGATCTTCCTTATTAAGTGCTAATCCTTGCAGGAGGGTGGCGTGGTCAACCAAAAGAAGAGGAAGGGTCGCCCCTTGCGGGAATAGACAACGCCGAGGGGGGTCCGGGGGAGGGCGAGAGAATCGACCGGGTTGATCATAACTTTCGTTATTGGTACTTGTTCAGTTTCGAACAGGTAGCTGTGAGGGCATCTGTTCGGATCAAGAATTTTGCACAATCCTTTTTGCCAACTCTGATCACCGACCTTCAACCATGGGTAAGTCTCAGTATGTCGCTCACGAGTAGGTACGTGTTCACCATAAAGCTGTGTATTGTGTATATGTGTAACGATATCACTTTGGATAGTTTGTTTGACCGTGACGCCTAATTTGTTCCGTGACCACACGGCTCCAAACCTTGCATTTTATATCCTCTTTGCCCATTGAAATCGACGGAATTGCCATTCATCCCTTCCAGCCTTCCTCCCAAAATCCCCACAAATGTTTTTCTTTAATGAGGAAAAATTAACTTGATCAAAACTCAAGAGTAATCCTTCACTCTTTTTTAAAGTTTGTGCGTCAAGATTTCATGCTGCAATCCAGTTCATCGTGCTGCTCCTACAGATGTGCCCACCCGGGCTACCAGGCGGCAATATTTTGTAATACACTCCTCCTCCTAGCGAGACTCATGAAGTTGCTGTCATGTCATCATTTTCCACAAATATCTGTTGCCTAAAGTGGAACCGCCAGTCTGCAGACCTCTCACCCAATTTTCGACAATTAGCCCCATAAGTCAGCAAATGCTGATATCAGCAACAAATCACTGCAGTAACCGACCAAATATGTATCTGCTCTCTCTCTTATTTTACTTTGCTTTCGTGTGCTCTATTTAGTCGAAAAGGCTTTGCAAATGAGTGTTCTCAACTGCCTTAGCTGGATAAGCAAAGGTTAAATAAATACTTGCGCCGTCTTTCACTGCCAGCACATCATTCTTTCCATGCTGCCTGCGTGTGTGTGTGTGACTTGTGTCCTTGTCCTTGCCCAGGTCTCCACCTGACTTATTACTCCCGGAGAGCACGTCCTGATTCCCGAATGTGACCCATCACATCCACACAGCATGACCAAAGGAGAGAAGCACAACAACGCAGGCCTCCGTCAACAAGTCTAAATGAGTAAGTCACGTTCGTTCGTAGCCCGCATTTCGATCGTCGCAAACAGCGAAGAAAAATGTAAAGTTTTTGTTTTCATCCACTGCCACAAGTTGGATGTCTTTTGATCTGTACATTTAAAAGGCGGGGCTGCAACTGCACCTTCACACTGAAAAGCTTCCAACCTTCATCGTCCAAAAAAATTTTTTAAAAAGTATCATGACGACAGAAAATGTTTGGAGTTTCCCTTTAACGATGCGCTTTGTTGTGTCAGTAGATCATGGAGTCTATGGCAAGAGTGAAAAAATCTCTGCGCGCGCCCATCAGGAGGCTCAGCAGCTGCATGTGCACCGTAAGCAACAGGAAGTGGTTTGCCAAAAGCAGGACCAATAGATTTCCACATCCGGGAGGAAGAGGACGCTGCGGCAGGTCGGGAAAGGCCCCACCTCGACGAACTCCCTCCAAGTATCCTTCGGTGGTTCGCGCTTACCAGGCCGACTTGGACAAAGAGAGGCAAGTGTAAACATAGGAAGCTAAGAGAGTTCAGTCCAGAGAACCTCGTGTTTATTTTTATGTCATGTATGTTTGTTTGCATTCAGAAAGCTGCGCAAAGCCACGAATGCTCAGAAGAATGCTGAGAGAGCAGCCATGAGATCTCACTTCAGGAGAAAATATCAGCTAGCAGAGGTACGTTTGCGTGGCATTCAGGAGATATGCGCGTCATTGCAGTCGAGTGCTTGAAAATCTCCCTCCATGCTTATATAGTTTTTTTTTTTTTTTAAAAGAGCGAGATTGGAAAAGACGCACCGTTGTTTGTTCAAGGCCCGAATGTTGTGTTTTGTTCCCTTTCGATAAGAACTCCAAGGATGCCAGCCACCTGAAATGCGTTGGCGGCAAAGTGTCGCTCCCCCGCGAGCTGTCCAAGCTGCTGCGTCCCGACAGCAAAACCAAGGATGACGGCTTCAACCTGCTCGACGCCTTCCGAGGCCTCAGCTTGGGCCCGCTGGCGGAAGGCAAAGGCGCCAAACGCGCCGCTGCCACGCCACACAGAGGGCGCTCTTGTCAAGTCATGTGATCAACGTGCCGGTGCACAAAAAGTCTTTTTGAAATGACCCCCTCATGGTCAAGCACAAACTGTTGTATAATACGGTTATGTCTTTATAGGGCAAGGAATCGTATTTGGTCATTTGACTCAAAAACGACGCCTTGCATCTTCCTTTTGAGGCCGTTACAACCCTGTGACATCCCCCAGCCAATCAAATCAAAAAAGGTAATCGAATATATATATATACACATATACACATTGTTTTTTTCTCTACAAATATAATTTCCAAAGTTGCCCCATTCTAGGTTAAAACCATTGAAAACGTTTTCATTTGAATTGATTGATCTTAACTCTGTTAAATATCAAAAGTATTTGCTAACGTTCTGTGCTGGGCTGTGTCTCAGCAATAGTGGTTGTCATGACGACATCCTTCCTGCAATCTCCAGGAAGGTGTTTTAGCGATTGAGGCTGTGAGCACTCATAGGGACACTTTTTCATCACGTTTTTGCAAAATGTACAGTCAGACAAAAAAAAAAAAACAGAATTAAATATGTTTTTGTATTTCCTTAAATAGTTGCCACCCCTTTAATAAATCCCATGCATATTAAATCTGTTCTAAATATTATACAGTCATTCAAACATGAGAATTAACTATTTAAAATATTTTATGTACACATTTTAACTTTTTGAACCTTTAAAAAAAAAATTTAAGTCTCCTCTATGTACGACCTGGCCCTGTAAAATCTGTCATTTCTAAAAAAAACTTAATCACAAAGGTATGTCCATCGCTTACATACGCGACAGGACCTTTTTTTTAGAGACTGCAATTCTTCATGAAGTGACCTCCAATTGGTGTGTAAATGTATATTTTTTCCATACGAGGAGAGTGTCTCAAATGTCATTGAAAGCGTGAACAAATGTTTGAATAAAGTTTTATTTGTGGATATCTGGACGTCCTCTCTGCCGTCTTTTCTGGGCAGCGCTGTCGTGTTTTGTTGTCCTTCTCTTGAACCGTCCACCTTCGCGTCCATAAATCATCAGCCGCTATCAAGACCGCCGCTTCCAAGGCTTCCCGGAGTCGGCAATAAACCGGACCTCACATTTCGCTGGCGCCCGCGACGAGCATGGCCGCGGCACTGAGAACACGCATCCCGGCCCGGCTGGGCGGCGCCACGGCCTCCAGGGCGCTCGGCATGACGCCGGACGGGAAAGAAGCGGGAAAAGTCGTAGGGACGAGCAGCGGCGGCCGCGTGAGGAGCTTTGAGGAGATCCCGCACACGGGGACCAACAGATGGCTCAATCTGCTCACCTTCTGGAGGGAAGGTCGTTTCAGGCTGCTCCACAAGCACATGGAGAGCTCCTTCAACACGCTGGGACCCATCTACAGGTACTTCCCGCTCGCGATGATGCGGTATGCTTTGGATCGCCAGCCAATCCTGTTTGCTAAGATAGAACGATGGCTTCATAATTCACATGGCTTCATCTCCTTCATTCAGAATTGCATGATGTGGTATGCATTGGATCACAAGTGAATCCTCACCATACATCGATATAAGATAACACATGATGTGACATGCTTTGGATCATGAGCTCATTGTCTCTAACATACGTGATTTGGTATGCTTTGGACCATGAGTTGATCCCTGACATGGATAAAGATGACGGATGATGTGGCATGCTTTGGATCATAGTCTATTACTCACTAGGGACAGGAAGCACGTGATGTGATATGCTTTGGTTCAAATTCATCCTCGACGTCGGTAAATAACAGGTGATGTGGTATGTGTTGGATCTTTATCTTGATTGAGGCACAATGCATGATGTGGTATGCTTTGGACCCGTTCTCAATTCACCATCTAATATCTCAATGTGTTGCTTTCAGGCATTTACTGTGGGCGTGTGTGTGCGTGTGTGTTTGCGCGCTAAAGGGAGCACCTGGGCCTTCAAAGCAGCGTGAACATCATGTTGCCAGGAGACATCGCTGAGCTGTTCCGTTACGAAGGCCTAAACCCGCAACGGATGGTCCTGCAGCCATGGGCCTTGCACCGAGAGATCCGCGGGCACGAAAAAGGAGTCTTCCTCAAGTCAGAAACTCACACACACACACACACACACACACACACACACACACACACACACACACACACAGAGCCTTACTGACTGTCCGTGTGTGGGCAGGAACGGTGCCGAGTGGCGCGCCGACCGTCTGCTCCTCAACAAGGAGGTGATGTTGAGCGCGGCAGTCAAGCGTTTCATTCCCCACATGGACGAGGTAGCGAGGGATTTCTGCCGCACGATCGGGAGCCGGCTGGAGGACCAGACCGACGGAAAGCACGGCAAAAGCAGCCTGACCTTGAACCCCAGTCCGGACCTCTTCGCTTTTGCGCTGGAAGGTCAGAGTTGATGTCGGATCCCTCTCTAATCGTTCTGCATTTTTCTTCGCAAGACAGCTCCAATGCAAAAGTGGCCATTTTTCTTATTACAAAATGGATTTCATTCCAGCATAGCATCATGTATCGCAGGCGGTCACTTCCAGATTACATGTCAGAGCAAAATACATGCACTGTGCAGATATCATTTTTGTCCAGACGGGGTCACAATCCTCACGTTCTACACTGTAGTATGAGTGATGGGTTTTTTTTTTTGTGTGTGCGCGCGCGTGCGTGGGTGTGTGTCAGAAAAATAATCATCAAAAAATTGTCCTCAATACAAGACAAGAAAAAGCCACAAAAAGTCAACTGCGAGATTTTCTTTTCTTCAAGAAAGTATCACACAAACACCATAAACAGATGCTAACAGTTAGCATCTACGTGACAGTGTTGTTACCCCTGAACCAACGGGTGTATGAACACATACTTTGCAGTAAAAACATAAAGATAGATAATACTCATAGGAATTTAGCCACGAACGGCTAATCCTGCGGAGGAGCTGAGAAATGCAGCTGAGTGCCCCCAGGTGGCCAACGCGCCCACAAAATAAGGAACAATAAGATTTTCGCCTTCCAAAATGTGGAAAATGCGATCCGCTGTGACTTACTTTCTGAATGCACTGAACATGACACGTGCCAGGTCACACGTGCGTAAAAATAGACAACAGACAATGCCACACATGACACATTTACAAATGTGCTGCTTGCGTGACTCACTTGTATGCATGTGCGTGCGTTTGAGGCAGAAGGCGGGGTTATTGACTTTGAGTCATGGCGCCATGCTTGTTGAAAAAGGACCTCAGCCAGTTATTAGGCTGATTCCGAAATAGACCGTTCCTCCACACCGTGTGTTGCCAGCATGACGTCAGCACGTCTGATCGATGTACAACTGAATCAAAAAAGAAAAAAACTTTGACTCGACAACCCCTCCGCTGTGGGACAATGGCACGAAACAACATGAAAACTTCCACAATCAAAAAGCCTGAGCACAAGTCCAAAACATTGAAGGCCCTTGGCCACAGTCAAGAAATTGGTGAGGAGACGATGTGACTAATGGCTTGCCCGTTTGTGCGCTCGTCTCACGCAGCCAGCTGCTACATTCTGTACGGGGAGCGCATCGGCCTTTTCTCGTCAACGCCCTCTATGGAGTCTCAGAAGTTCATCTGGGCGGTGGAAAGAATGCTGGCCACCACCGTGCCCCTCCTCTACTTGCCCTCCGCCCTGCTGGAGCGCTTAGGCGCCTCCTTGTGGACGCAGCATGCCACTGCGTGGGACCACATCTTCGACCACGGTAGCGTCAGATCGACGTTTCTCGATTTTTCAGGTGTCGGTACTTGCTTGGGTGATGAGGGCGTTCATTGCGTTCAATACGATATTAAAAAAAAGATATATACTTCTGTACTTGCTAGAAGATTGTTTGACTTGAATCACTACTTAAGCCGCTTGTGTCGTTTCAGCTGAGACCAGTATGAAGAGGGGCTTCCAGCGCTTGTCTTCCAGACCCGATGTAGGCGAGGTCCCCGGAGTTCTGGGCCAGCTCCTGGAGAAAGGCCAGTTGACTCGCGAGACCATCAAAGCCAACATGACCGAACTGATGGCCGGCGCGGTCGACACGGTGCGTGAGCGACGCGGCCGCTCCGTTGATGTACTTGCACCGATTGATTGCGTTGATTTCTGTCCAGACGGCGGTGCCGCTGCAGTTCGCTTTGTTCGAGCTGGCTCGGAACCCCGCTGTGCAGGAAAGTGTCAGGCGGCAGGTGACCGAGTCGGTGGGCCGGGCCCAAGGGGACCCTCACAAAGCTCTGGAGGGGGCGCCGCTACTTAAAGGCGCCGTCAAGGAGATTCTCAGGTATGCAAATAACATCGCACTTTTTATTCACTATTCATTTGTCTTCAAATACCGTATTGGCCCCAATATAAGACGGCCCTGATTATAAGACGACCCCCTCTTTTTCAAGACTCAAGTTTGAAAGAAGACTTTTTGAACACCAAATTAATTTTTATACAGAAAATAATTACAGTGCATCTGAAACAAATGATTATAACAATATATTTGAGAGAAAGAGCATGTTATTTTACCTCATTCAAATCTAAAGTGCAATCACATTCGTAAATGAATGGCTTCTGGTTTTTGAAATGTAAATGACACCATAACTTCTCCTCAGCTGCCGGTTAACCTGGCCGATCTTCGACCCACTTTTCTCCAGATTGTCACTACGTTTCTCCATTTTCTGTTATCTCTTCTATTATTTTCTTCTCTTTTCATTCTTACTGCTATTTTTTTTTTTCTTCTTCGTGCTACCGCTATTTTTATTTTTATTCTTCGTGGCAGGGCTTCACTTTGGCCTGAAGAGTCAAGATCAGCATTCGCTTCTTCTGGCGCCATCTAGCGTCGTGTATGGGTATAATGTCTAGACTCCAAATATAAGACGACCCCCACTTTTTCAGTCTTATTTCAATGCAAAAAAACACCGTCTTATATTCGGGCCAATACGGTAATACTGATCTTAAAAATAATCACGACAAAAAACGACATGTTGGCTGTCTGCGTTGGTACGTCGGGTACACAAACCGCTTTGTGAATCGTCTCAATTCACTTCAGACTTTCATTGCCGCGGTGCTTACAAAAACTCACCTGCGTTGTTCCAGGCTGTATCCGGTCGGCATCACGGTTCAGCGCTACCCAGTCCGAGATCTCGTTCTCCAGAACTACAACATTCCGGCCGGAGTGAGTCAGTCGCGTCAACCAAATCACGGCGCCAACATCCAAACGTTAGAGTGGCGTCTTCTGCGCCCTCAGACCTTGGTCCAGGCCTGTCTTTACCCCATGGGGAGGAGTGCGGAGGTCTTCGACAACCCGCTGACCTTCGACCCGGCTCGTTGGACCCGAATGCGGCAGGAAAGGGCCGACGGCGGCGCCGCGTTCCGCTCGCTGGCGTTTGGGTTCGGCTCCAGGCAGTGCGTCGGCCGCAGGATCGCGGAGAACGAGATTCAACTCTTGCTCATGCACGTGAGGTTTTTTTTTTTTTTTTGCGCCCATTTCCGATCCGTTTTGCCCATCGCAGAAAGTGTAGTGAGAGGGGGGCAACTGGTGCCCTCATACAACCTTCATTCAAGGCAAAGGAAACCCTAGAAATTCTAGGCAAGCAAGTTTTATTCATGCTGTCATTGCGGTGGGCTCCAAAAGAGCATTTCTTTGTGTTTGTGCGGTTAGATCCTGCTCAACTTCCACCTCAGCGTGTCCTCGTCTCAAGACATCGACACCAAGTTGACGCTCATCCTGCAGCCCGAGTCCCCTCCCAGGATCACCTTCAGGATGCTCTGACGTGCACATGCACGCACACGCACACGCACACACACACACACACACACACACACACACACACACACATGTGCTGCCCCAACCCTTTTTCACTTTGTATTCAAACAAAGGTTGACTCAAGTCCAAATAAAGTGTGCTTTCTATGCCCTGTGGTTTTCGTGTTGAGCAAATGTCTGCCAGAGTTGTCCTGTAGGTGGCGCTCAAGCTGAGGCAGCCCTCCCGGCCTTTCCTGCTTGGGCTGTTTGTTGACTTTCATTCACCGCCTGCGGCTTGCTGCGTCCGACAGGTTGGTGCTTGCTTTTTACGGCTTTCCTCTCGTCGTCTCGTCTTTCGTCCGTCGCGGCCCAACTTTGCATGCTCGCCAGTTTATTATTTGCACGAGTTCATGGTCACGTTTGATTTTGTCATGAGCTGCAGCGCAACGAGGGAAATACTGGACACAATGTCCACCTTTTGGCCAAAGGCTGCTGGCTTCCAAAATGAGGCTTGCGCGTGGAATGACAACTTTTGATCAACGTGACTGTGCTCGGCTGATTTTTTTTTTTGAATATGACACAAGAATACTTGATGCAGAGCACATTGTTAAATTGCGCTTGTGCGGCGGCGAAGGTGCAAAGGTCTGTTTGCTCCCTAGCTAAAGATTTACGCCTCCTGCTTCCGTCAGCCAAGCTGAGTCACAAGTTACAATTTAAAAAAAATAAAAATAGCTGAGAGACAAGTTGGGGTGAAAAAAAAGTGTCACTTGACATCATTGCTGCCTGTGTCAAAGTCTAAAAGTCATCAACGCATCACACGGCGTGAGCCAGTCGTGATTGAGCTCGCAAACTTTTCATGAATCTCAACAGGAAGGACGAGACGAGTTGTCGCCTCACCTTCAACTCAAATCGTGGCCAATTAAATTTTATTCATGTTCATTTATTTTTAACCTGAATGCGATGGGATTTGATGCAATTTTATTTCCTTTTAATTGCAGTTATTTCGTCTCAATTGTATTTATTTCAGTGTCATTTTACCGTTTTACTCATTTAAAAATATTAATTGTATATTCATTATTTTGCATTAATTTATTTTGCCTTCATATTATTTTTCTTCTTTTTAATGACTACAAATTTGGAATTTGTTGCAGTTTTCAGAAAATTTGTACTTGGAAAAAAAATGCCATCATGTTTTTTTTTTTGTTTGTTTGTTTTAAACAGCAAATTTCCGGTTTATTCCCACACTTAATATCACCCAGCATGGAAAAATTGCACATATTTTCGCCCTCATTGGAACACTATATCATGACTGATTGACAACAATATAAAGTTGTTGGATTTTATGATCGCACACCAATTGTGAAACTTTTTAAAGATTCCGGTTAAGTTGCAGTTGCTGAAAATGTTTCGAAGGAAAATAATGAGAATGAAGATATCCTCACCGGTGATTTGTGTCATGTTCCTCGTGACCTTTGAGTGGGAGGGGTTACACTTGATCTCACACAACGTGTGTTTCAGTTTTTGTGTGAATTGCGTAATGCTGCAGCGATGCCACAAATAGATAAATGTCACACTGACCTTCAGCGCACTTGTGTGGTGTAATCCACGTTATTAGACCGATTTGGTTTCTGACATTTTCACGATCCTCACACTAACGTCCTGACGTAACGTGATGTGTGAGTGTGTGGAGGGTTGAGAGGGTTAATAAGAGAGGCAGGTGGAGGCGTGGCTACATGACTTTGATTATGAGTGTGTGTGATTATTATAAGTGTGCGTGCTGAGTGGAAACAAGCAGTTAAGACAGAGGCGACATTTAAAAGATATCCAAAATATTTCAGATATATTTATTTAAATAAACAACGAGTAAAGCAACAAGAGGTGCCTGCTGGTGTCAAAATGGGTGAGTGAAGCCTATTTTATTTTATCATCAAATGGACCTTGTTATGAGCCCCATGTTAACTGCAGTATTCTTTTTATTTATTTATTTTAATTAAATTCACTTGTGCCTTGAGATCAAAATGCTCAAACACTGGTGTATCTCAAATCATCTTTACCCATTGAAATGAATGGAAATGCCATTCATCCGTTCCACCGTCCCCTCAAAAAGAAACGTTTCAGCAATGTGATTTTCGTTGCGTGACCACCGGGTAGCAGTATAATACGGTTCTATGTGTTCACATGATCACATTTCTCGTTGGCTCATTAAGTTGCAATCAGTCTTTTTTTTTTTTTTTTTTGCAGATGATAAACATGCGAGTATTGGGATATAGTGGTCTACATGTATTGCTCCACCGTTTGTGTTTCAACACCTGCTGCTTAAAGGATTGTAAAACCCCGATTACCAATGCTAAATGCCAGCATGTCAATGGCTAGCAAAGCGCTAGCTAGCTAGCGGGTCTTTTAGATGTTTCGTAAGCTTGAATGTACCGTGCCGTGACTCAAAATGTTTCTTCAAATTTGATGTAAGGATTTTTTTGAAGCTAGATAACACTTCGTCGACAGTAGAGTGTACAAAGCAACCTTAATATTTTCATCTTTCGCTGACACAAACTTCGCATGAAAAGCCGAAAGTCTTCACACACGTGAGACGTCAATGTGCTGAAAAGGTGACTTGTTGCTTGAGTGACGTCACTCCCCCAGTCGATAGGACCGAAATGACATCCCACCACGTTTCCAATCGTTTCACTTCATTACTTTAATGCTCCATCATGTAAAGTTGTTTGTCGAATGTTTTAGCTCTTTTATTTTAATGTTTACTATTTTGTTTTGTTGACCGTGGCTGACTTTGGTGCGGTGATCAATGACATGCCGAGCGGCCATTGTTTGCGATTGTCTTCCCGAAGCAACCGACTTTTTTTTTTCTCCTGCTATATGTCTCTGAATGAGGACGCCAGTCAGATACCTACATTTGACGTATTGATATGTTATACGATCGGTCACTCCCTATAGCAGCCAATCTTGAGTGACATGTTGCATTACCGCTCAGAACATGACCCGTTATTGGTCCCACCACTTCTCTTATCTGCTCCATTGTGCTCTACTCCGAGCGTCGCCTCATCAAACTTGTGGACAGTCTGCTTCACGGATATACAAAGAGAATGTGTGTGTGTGTGTGTGTGTGTGTGTGTGTGTGTGTGTGTGTGTGTGTGTGTGTGTGTGTGTGTGTGTGTGTGTGTGTGCCGTGATGCGTGCAGCGGTGCGGCACAGCTGGGTCACGTGGAGGTCGCGGGGGAACAGAGACGAAACGGAGGAAAAAAGATGGAGGAGGCTGAGTTCACTCACCTACTCCTCTACTTTTTGTGTCATCCTAATGGGTCGAGGCGCCGGTTCCAAGCGCGGCTGAGTGTGAAAACCTTTCGAATGATCATCCTGGCCTTATCGGTCGATTCTCATCCTCGCATGAAGACCTCATCAATTCGTCGATTCTGTACAACTGCTCATCCTCATGATAGAAAATACAATTCCAGTCTTATTTCACTCTTAAAGAAGCCTTGACCCAATTTTCCGACGATGCGAACCATTCTGACCATTTTGTCTGCAAACGCTTCAGCAAATAGGAAACGTTGAACAATTTTGCAAAAAAAGACTTTACGCCATTTAATGCCACGCCCATCTCACGTTTCTTGTCAAAATAAACAGAAAACAAATAACAACAAACGTGTGTCCTAGCTTTGACTTCAGAAAAACGTCAGGTTAGCTTGACGCGCACAAACAACGCAAAACAGCATTGACATGCTAACGTTAGCACTGGTAGTTGCGGTTTCAGAAGCAATGGATATTTGACGTCTTCACATTGAATCATTTTCAGCAAAAATGTGGCGACTTCCTGTTTTTGCTTTTCCTCTTTCGACACTGTCTCAAACTAGTGTGAGTGAAATTGCACCCAGAATAAACGGCAGGTGGCACTAGATTGACTTCTAAAACTGAACGCCCCCCACAAAAAATATAAATAAAAAAAAAAAACATATATATATATATATATATATATATATATATGTGAACCTGCACTGAAGTGGGCATTACAGTACTGCAATCTGAAGGTGGTTAACCTTTCCCCTCGAATGAATGACGTGACGTTGAACTCACTGACCTCGCAATTGGGGTGAGTCCATTTTGGTGAGCAGCACGCCGGAGTTCTACAGTCGATGCTGATAAGACATCTTCCCACCAACAGATAATGTGTCTCATTGCCTCGATGACTTCCAAAGCTCAGCGTTTGGAACCACTGACCTCATTGCGATAGCAAATATCCACGCAGCATTTGGAGCATTCAGCAAATGACAGGTCCAGCCCCAAACAGATGTCTTCTGTGCAAAAAGAATTTTTTTTTTCTTGTGCTGTTGAGAATTTTGCCACATAGAGTGATTACATCATAAATGTATTCCCCTAAAATTATTTTTCCCCTTATGATATTCTCTTATTTTTTTTTATATTTGGACTGTTTGCTTCCAAATCGACTGCACATTGTCATCATGACATGACAATTGTGAATCTTCAATAATTATCTCTGAATAGTATGAATTTTATTTTAATTTCAATTAATTACGACTTTATTCAAAAAAAAATTGCTATCTTGTCGGAGTAAAATTTGAGATTGTGTCTCCCTCCTAATATTTTGTCAACTCTGATGAGTGTTTTTTTTTCTTCACCCCCAGAGATGTAAACTTTAGCACTTGAGTGGCAAGTAGCAGTGGAGCCTCCCCCTCCCTCCCCCCTTCCTTTGAGCATAAACATCATGTAAATGCGTTTGGCGTTAAATGTCAAGCCCCCCCAGGCTACTTCCATTCTACTCCAACGTGCCGCTGTCGGAGCAGGATATCGATCGGGAACGTCCGTCTTACATTCACGACCGCCTGGGGGTGGCTCCATCACTGCTCCGCAACCTATGACCCGTGGGCCAGATCCGGCCCGTTGGAGTATTGAAACAACCCAAATAACATTCCAACCACAAACTGCTCAGAATGCATCACAATAATTCTGTCCTCTTTGACGTTGATTGGCCCCCCTCTTCAGTCACACAGACACATTTCTATTCTCCGTTGTCTTAACTGGATGAAGAAAGGTCGAATGCCAATCAAATGAATCACGCTTGACCGTCATATGACTCGAAAATGGCCCTCGCTAAGGAAAAAAAGCTCGATCTAAATGTGTCTGAGTATCTCCAGCTTGTCTTTCTGCAGTCCATGAATGGGGGACGCGTCCTGTATTTCTGTCATGGCACGCTCATGAATGCTAATTCTGATTTGGCATTTGACGAAATGAGCATGCTCAGCGTGTCCTTTTCCAGCCATGACACACAAATTGAATACAGAAATGCAATTCGGTTAGCGTGACTGACGCTTCAGACAATCTTGCGTACGCATGCCGAGGCCGCTGTTACATTTCTTGTTGTAGAGATAACGATATGTACCCTAGGGGAGGAAATTAAGACCATATTGTCTTCGGTAATAAGTCTTCGGCCGAGAACAAAAGCAAATAAAACGTTATTTCGTTCGAAGGTGCGGCTGAGGGAGTTTTTACTCACACACACTTCAGGCAGCGCAAGCTAACATCCATCGCGCTTCCGTTGCAGACGAACGTTCAGCTGTTAGAAAACGACAGTCTCTTGTTTCCTTTCAAACTCGGCTTGTCGCAATCGTGAGTGACGTCTCTGATCTGGGCTTATCGTTATGATCGCGTGGCTTGCGTACCGCTGCGGCTGTTGTCAAAGCACTTCCTGCGGTCAATAAAGGGGGAGTCGAGTGAGTCAAGGTCGCAACCGATGAATTTTCCGTGTCGGCCCGTCTGAGACTGTTGACGATTTTTCTCAGTTTTTTTTTTTGTACGTGTGCAGCTCGCATCAGACGCTACTCGGAGGCCATGACGATGCCCGACTCTTTCATCCAGCGCCAGCAGCTGGACGCCAGCATGGCCGACACCTTCCTGGAGCACCTGTGTCTTCTGGACATCGACCAGGAGCCCATCACGGCCCGCAACACCAGCATCGTGTGCACCATCGGTCAGCAACACACCTGCTCGCTGTCAATAAAAGGCTATCTCGTCGCCCGTCGCCGTGTGTTCGCTGGCGAGTGAGCAGCAGCTTGTCAGACACGCTCGCGCGCTGCTCACGTTGGAGTCGGCCAACTGTCACTCTGACTTGTTGACAGATTGGCCCTGCTTCGTCCAAGAACAGTGACATCACACTGAATCATGTCATGTATCCCGCAGGGACTTTTTCACGATTCTTCTCTCGTCATGCATTGCAGTACATATATTGTGTATAACAAGGCAGCGATATATTGTGAAAAGAGCGATGTAAATAGAAATGTACTTCCTTCCTTGAAGGTCCTGCTTCCCGATCCATTGCCAAACTCCAGGAGATGGTCAAAGCCGGGATGAATATCGCACGTTTGAATTTTTCTCACGGTTCCCACGAGGTGCGTGTCCACTCAGCATTCGCCCACAATTGTTTTTCGCGCTCTCACAACGCTCTCGATGTGTACCGATTGTCTGCCAGTACCACAGCGAAACCATCAAGAACATCCGTGAGGCGGTGGAGACGGTCACATCTGACCCGCTGTACTATCGGCCTGTGGCCATCGCCTTGGATACCAAAGGACCGGAGATACGCACTGGATTAGTGAACGGGGTAAAACGCACAACGCAGATCATTTTTTGCGGCTTATTTTTCTTGTAATAACATGGCTGTGGCATGCTTGGGGTGGAAATACCCCAAGGATCAAAGAATATGAACACTTGATCATATTTCAGGTTGAAATTAATCAGCTATTAGCTGCTGCGCCAATGGCCTGTATGAATTTTGTTACCATGGCAACTCGTGGTCAAGCTAGGTTATACTCGACTTAATTAATTTTAACTAAGCGATAATGATATGAACTCCAAAGTGGGTGTAAGCCCCCATCAAGACATTTTTAAAACCATTCAGAAATTGACTTGCTGATGGGTTTTGGATGGTTGTCCTGCTGCCGAAGCGAAAAGCACTCCCGCTTGAGGTCACCAACTGATGGCTGAACATTCTTCCTCAAGATTTTATGATAAAATGCATAATTTTTGTTTCTATCAGTCATGGCAAAAGCGGTCCAGGTCCTGAAGATGCACCTAGCCCCAGGCCATTACGCTATACACCACCATTTTGACTGTTGATGACATTTTTTCCCCTGAAATGCTGTGTTACGTTTAAACCAGATGTAATGAGACACACAGCCAATTTTCTATGTATTTTAATGAATTTTCCCCCATGGAGGCAGCACTTCATTACAAAGGTGCCCAATTAAGGGGCTGTGGATCTTCACCCAGCCGGGCTGATCATATCATGGGCGATTACGCTTGGCTATTACGTCAATGAGCGCCTTTGATCCTTAAGGGTGAGGTGGAAGGGCAGTTTAAAAAGTCCATTTTTATACATCCTCTTAGTTATTATCTTTCTGCGCATTTAATCGTGGTAACAACAGGTGGTGTTGTCGTGTGCTATTTTGGGAAATGTTATCATGTTCTCTTGTGTTCACGTTGCACCTTGTCTACTTGGCGTGCTAAATTACTGCAAGCTGTCGGAAACCTTTTCATGTCTTGATTGGATTACTGGATGCTCTGCATGATGCACGCGGCGCACACATCGTAGTTATGTCGCCATGGAGAAAGTATACAAGTAGGAACACACTTGGGATTTGGGCCGCCAACAACACTTCCTGCCATCTGACTGCACCTTTAAATGGAGCAGATGGCTGACTGTAATCATGAGTCATCATTTGAGCAACATATGGACAAAGTTGAATAAACACACAAAATGCATCAAAGGACGATTTAAAATGTTTATTTGTTAAAGGCAACCCCCCCGATTTGGTCATTTAAATTTCTCTCAGCCAATCAGCCAAGCAATATGAGAATGTGTGTGTGTGCTCGACAACACGTGTTTGTTTGTGAAGAAAGTGGAGGAGGAGGTGAAGCTGGAAAAGGGCAGCTATGTTCGCGTGGTCACGGCACAAGCCGACAAAGACTCCACAGATGGCAAGAACATCTGGGTGGACTATCCCGATCTACCGCGGGTCCTCAAGAGCGGGGACAAGATCTACATCGACGACGGCCTCATTGGACTTAAAGTTCAGGAAACTGGTACGAAATGACTGTCACCCCTGCCTGATGTGCTGGGCAGTTACACTCCAGTCCAGTAGGTGGTGGCAAAATATATTTTCAAATGGGACGTGACTGATGGGTCAGATGGGTCATTTTTATTCTTTACTCTTTTTTTACCCAATGCAAAACTCTCATTTATTGTGCAATAAGCTAATTGTAACATGTATTTGTTACATAATTTGATGCATTTTTATATTTTAGAAAACATTTATGTCTGAATTGGGGGCCGGGGGAGGGTCCTGGAACGGATTAGGGCATTTACATGAAAAACGCGTCTCTACTGACAACATTTTCTAGTTTAGAAATTTCTTCCAGAACCAATTAATTTCTTATGTAGAGGTACCACAGTAACTGAAAGCAAATAAAACATAATCAATTTAAAACTCATATTTTATGAGAAGAAATGTGGTCATTCATAAATAATGACTATATTGCACGTGATGTGATATAATTGAAAATAACAGTACATCTAAAACTCGTTTTCTCATTGTAATACATTTGCTAATGAATTCCTAACAAATAAGGTACTGTCAATATGATGCATGATATGTTGTAACGAATAAGCACAAATAAATCCAACAATGTGAAGGCAAATTTCGCTTTCAAATATATTTGATCATCAATCATCGATAGACAGATGTGAGATCAGATTTCACTGATGTAGCCGACGTATGGGGCGGCTGGGCAGGTCCGGACTGGGTGGACACGGTGGTGGAGGCTGACGGCGTGCTCTGCAGCCGCAAAGGCGTCAACCTGCCCGGCTGCGACCTGATCGGCATGCCTGCGGTCAGCGAGCGGGATGAGGCCGACCTGAGGTTCGGCGTGGCCCAGGGCGTGGACATCGTATTCGCCAGCTTCATCCGCTCCGCGCAGGACGTCCGCGACGTGAGGCGAGCTCTGGGCCCGCACGGGAAGAACATCAAGGTGATCAGCAAGGTGGAAAGTCGCCAAGGAGTCCAGAAGTGAGTCCACCCTTACGTCATTAATGTGAAATCTCTGCCCAAATGGAGCTTTGTCTCAATTAATAGCCGGGTGTAAAAATAAAAGCAGCGATGGAACAGCCGGCCAACACGGCTTTTGATGTTTACGAGTACAGTGCAAACTGGCAGCCGTTCAACTTGATGAAACATTTTGTTCATCATAGTCATCTATGGAGACTGAGCTACAGACAGTCGGAAGTGATATCTGGAAGTTCGGGCGATGGAATGTTGTGCCCCACCTTGGCCCTATCTCTGGCTTTGCAGAGGAGGAACGTTTAACGAGAGTCACTGGGTTAAATATTCTTTGCCTCACCGAGCATGTTATATCACTAAAATGGACCAGAGAGATGAAACAACTTTACTTGTCATTATTTATCCAACTCATCCAAAAATAGAGATACATATTTCAAAATATTTATCTTTTACGATCTGTATTTTTATATATGTATTTTTTGTCTTCAATGCCAGTAGTGTGGTGTCGACCATGCATTGCATTTCATATGCAAAATCCATTTTTATTTAAACAAATTGATGGGGTAGAAAAAGATAACTCCGTTTAGAAAATATTGCATAGTTGCAAACCGATGGCTGTCTTCAGCTCCTTGTTAGAGGAGACCAAGCTGTGCAAAAAGTACAGAAACGTTGAATGGCTTGCATTTAGAATGAGATGAACAAATGAAGTTCACCTGTAAAGGTTATAGTGCACTTTAGCAATACATCCATCCATCCATCCATCCATCCATCCATTTTCTGATCCGCTTTATCCTCACAAGGGTCGCGGGGGGTGCTCGAGCCTATCACACCCTGAACTGGTTGCCAGCCAATCGCAGGGCACACAGAGACAAACAACCATCCGTGCTCACACTCACTCCTCGGGACAATTTGGAGTGTCCAATCAGCCTGCCGTGCATGTTTTTGGAATGTGGGAGGAAAGCGGAGTACCCAGAGAAAACCCACGCAGGCCCGAGGAGAACATGCAAACTCCACACGGGAAGGCCGGAGCTGGAATCGAAGCCGGTACCTCAGCACTGTGAGGTCGACACGCTAACCGGACGTCCACCGGACTGCCCTTTAGAAATAGAACCTAGTCTTATTATTATAAGTTTGGAAGCAGAGTGTGGGGTCTCTGAGGCTCGGGAGACGCAAGTCTGGGCTTCCCTGCTTAAAGCTGCTCATCCTTGACTTGACCTTGGATAAGCGGAAGAGAATGGAGATTTGAAGATTTTACCCGACAGTCCAATATCCCCCAATTTTTGTGACTAATGGACAGAAAAGTTGCGAAATGTGCAGCAGTTCCCATGGTGTGGAGAAAAAGAGCCAGAAGCCAGCTTGCGGTTGAGGAAATGATGAGCAGCATTTGGAAAGGGATTAATTCCTGGAGCGTCGGCCAGTAGCTGGGGAGGAGGGGTGGGGGGCGAGTTCATAATGCGGCGCTGACAGGGGCGTTGATGGCCGCCTGCCAGCTGTCATCGAGGTGTCAGCTGGCACTTTGACTCTCCGCTCGCAGTCTGCCCGCGTGACGTACGGCCACCACTTAATGTATCGTGACACAATTTACGATTCCGAGCCGACGTTCCACCATTACTTATCTGCCGCCGACTTTGCCGGCGGCCGTTCATGATGATCGATTTCTCCTGAGCGCCTCATGAATATTTGACTCGGTGCAATTACGGTGGGATATTTGTCATAACTGTCTCATCTGCGGCACGCTCATTTTGGATGCGTGCCCTGTGAGTCAGAGAGGACGTTGTGGCGAAATATTCGATTTTTGCTGAGATCCCAAACATCCCAATTCTCTCCCTCTCTCCCCCTCCTCATTCATTTGTGTATCAGCATTGAGGAAATCTTGGCGGAAAGCGATGGCGTGATGGTCGCCAGGGGAGACCTGGGCATCGAGATCCCCGCCGAGAAAGTCTTCATCGCCCAGAAGATGATGATTGGTCGCTGCAACGCATCCGGCAAGCCTGTCATCTGCGCCACGCAGGTCAGATTTTGCAATAATTTTGTTACCCTGTTAACACTCACCCAAACAATAATTGACCAAACTATTAAATATTGATTTGACTAATTTCCAAACTGGTAATCCATCAATGTGTTGTGTACAAGTAATAATATGTAAAAATTTATTTAATTTCACTGTCGTAACGGCCCTCCGAGGGACGACCTAACCCCAACTTGGCCCGTGCCAAAAATGTGTTTGACACCTCTGATATAGAGAGTGACGTCTTTGCTGACTGAAAAAAAATCGCAAACAGGAAATTTACAAGGCTAGAACGGATTAATGGCATTTCCATTCATCTCTATGAGGGGAAGATGATTTAAGATATGAATGTTTTAATGGTCACCGAACAAATAAAACTCATATCAAGGCACCACTGTACTACATTCAGTAGTCACCGATTCTCACCGATTATTTCACTTTGTTCAAAATATGCCAATGTCATTCAAATGACTCGCTTGCTGTGTGGCTCAAGAAAATTGGGTGCCACAATCTATAGAATGACAGGCGCATCGCTTTTTTTTTTTTTTTTTAATCAGGCGCCTCCAAACATGCATGTTATTCATTCGTTAGCACGATATTTTGACTCAATTAATTTGACTAAACGCAAGCTATTCCCTGGTTAGGAGTGGAAGAGTGAATATGCGTTTGACCTGTAAAAAAAGACTTGCACGCAAACGGGTGAATGCAACCCTTACTTTACACAATGTGACTTGAACTGGGAACTTAAAATCGAAGGTTTGTGTGATTTTTCGTGGCTCGTTAAAGCTCTTGCGATTGTACATTTGTGTGCCCTGAAGTCATCCATGACTAAGTTGTGGCTCCGATGAAAACAAGTTTGACGTGTGGGAAAAAATAAATAAATAAATAAACGTGTGTGTGTGTGTGTGTGTGTGTGTGTGTGTGTGTGTGTGTGTGTGTGTGTGTGCGCGTGTGCGCGCGTGTGCGTGCGCGCAGATGCTGGAGAGCATGATGGTCCACCCGCGGCCCACGCGAGCAGAGGGCAGTGACGTGGCCAACGCCGTGCTGGACGGAGCCGACTGCGTGATGCTATCCGGCGAGACCGCCAAGGGCCTGTTTCCCGTGAAGGCAGTCGCCATGATGCACTCGGTGCGCGCGTGTGTGTGTTCGTGTGTGTGTGCGTGTTGCTCATAGAACCCTCCCCTGCTGACTGTCTCATCCCGTGCTGTCAGATTTGCAGGGAGGCGGAGGCGGCCATTTTCCACCAGCAGCTATTTGAGGAGCTGCGCCGCCTGACCCCGCTGTCCTCGGACCCCACAGAGGTTACTGCCATCGGGGCAGTTGAGTCGTCCTTTAAGTGCTGCGCTGGCGCCATTATCGTCCTCACCTCTAGTGGCAGGTGGGCACTCTAACCTTATCCGTACAAACCCTCAATTGACAAAAAACAAAAACAAAAAAAACCCAAAACATTTTTTGTGATACAGTGGTTCCTTCAGATACAAGTGAATTAATAACGTTAGCAAATGTTCTTCACAAAAGTTTCTGTCAAAACAAACATAAAAAAAATATACATATACAGTGTGTATTTAAAACGGCTACATCGTCTCCTCTTTCTTAATGCTCACATACAATGGGAAACACCACCAGCAAATTCGCTAATGATTAGCATATCTGCGGCAGGCTTGTTCACCTTAAAGCAATGGATATCCGAACACAAATAATGCAGCAACACTTGTAGACAAACAATAAAACAAGACATATGCTTTTTATCCTCTGTGAAGAGCGGCTAATATTATTACAAGATATCTGCGCAACTGTCTTATACTGCCCCTAGGTGGCCGAGGTTTGCACATCACAATTTCTTTCTTTGTGTTTGTTTGTTTGTTTTCTATGAAATTATTTCATTACTGTATATTTTTAAGGTATATTTTTCAGTGCAGACTTTTCTCATTTCTCAGCACATTAAGCATCTTTTGACATCATGGTAATACTTTTCGTTTTCACAAAATAATCACCCAAAAAAAGTTTCTAGCAAGCTTTTTGGGTTTCATTGATTTGCAGCCTGACACTGTTTTAACTACAACTCACAGTCATTCTATTGAATACTTCCTGAAAATTATGGACTTCATTTATTTTGAGTTTTTCTTATAGCAGACAGGCTTTCAGAAACAAACAACCGAATGTTAGTCATATCTCCCTAAGGAAATCAGCAGACGGAACAAATGCGTTTTTCTGTTTTCAGACCCCACAGGAATGATTACATTTCGCCTTCTGTTTTGTGCGTGCAAACAGATTCCCTGGAATGACCTCCGCTCGCCGATATAATAAACGGGACATGTTTGAGCTTTCAGTCATGCATATTTATCATTTGTGTTTTCCATGTGTGTATATACAGGGCGGCACACCTCCTTTCCAGGTATCGGCCCCGCTGTCCAATCATTGCCGTCACCAGGAGCCCGCAGGTACACAACGAGCCAACTGCCTTGAAATTGAGTGAGCAGTGACTGACGCCTTTGTTAGCGTCGCACCCACAGAAACGTGAAATCACTCGTTTCAAACTCACCCCGCGTTAACAAGAGAAGAGCTGAGTATCATAAATTGCATCATAGACAACATGTATCTTTTCATTGTTGTTGTTTTTTTTCTTTTTTAATTATAAGTTTAATTTGGGTGCCTATGTTATCTCAGGACTCCACCGATAGTCTTTATTTGACTTACTTGTCCGTCATTTTTGCTAGATCTAAAATAGTTTGAAATGTGGGCCATGACTGGATTAGAAATGCGCAGACTTGTGAGTCATCTAACGGTGGGGTGGGGGGGGGGGCGGGGAGGTCAAAAATCCCGCAGGTTCAAAGTCCCAAGATGTTGATTCCATCGCTATTTTTTAACTACCTTGAAATGCAACCCCCGAAAATGACTATCGTACAGGCGGTATAGTGGTCCTCCCTGTGTGGAGTTTGCATGTTCCCCCCAGGCCTACGTGGGTTTTCTCCAGGTACTCCGGTTTCCTCCCACATTCCAAAAACATGCATGGCAGGCTGATGGAACATTTTTTCATGCCTAGATGAGGCCCAAAATTTCACAAACAAAATTACAGCGTGCTGGCTAATAAGTGAATCTTTGTTGTTGTCCAGGTGGCGCGTCAGTCGCAGTTGCTGCGAGGAGTCTTCCCCGTCCTCTTTCACCCTCTACCAGCACCCGTCTGGGCCGACGATGTCGACAACCGTGTCAACTTTGGAATAGAAATAGGTGAGGATTTTTTTTTCTTTAGCCACTAACTTGGTAATGTTGGTACAAATTTGAGATCCAGCCCCACTCAGGGAATGTGACGCCGTCGCAAAACCGTGGACCCGCGTCAACGTTTCTGGCCGTGCCTTGATGCTGGGTTATTTCTTCTGTGGAACAGGCAAGGCGAGAGGATTCTTCAAAGAGGGCGACATGGTGATCATTGTGACCGGCTGGATCCCGGGGTCGGGTCACACGAACATCATGAGGGCCGTCAACGTCACGTAGCCATCAGCGGCCGTCTCCGGCAAACACTTACGGTTACACTTCGCAACAGTGGCATGTGTTCAGCTAGCTGACATTTCCACTCAGGCACGATGTGTGTCTGTTTTCAAAGCAATGACTCCGATTTAGCCAATAAAACTTGAAGCAATCGTAACCTCTCGTCTCTCCTCTTGTGCTCGGGATGGGAAGGGAGCTCCTCTCGTTTTGGCCGCCCACTCTCATATTCTTTGCCTCTCTTTGACGTGTGAGTGATTAAAAAAAAAAGGTAACCGCCGCCTTATACGATTATGGACTCTGTCCTTTGATTACGGTCACAGTCTTCCTATGCGCCGGAGCAGTTCTTTTGTTTTATTTTTATGAGAGCAGATCGGAGAGATGACTCGTGGTCTTGTGTTCGCTGAGATGACCCAGATGCCCGCAACTGCACACTGCTCCGTCATAAAGTCATTACGCGATTCTTTATGGTGCTTTATTTTGTTTCGCTCCACCCTAGGCTGGCCTCTCAGACATTCGGATGGCTGGCAGTCGGTGGAAAATGAGCAGATTGCGAATCCATCAGAGAATTTTTAAATCACAGAAAGAGTTGACCGTTCATCCCCTTAGTGCAGTTGTCCCTCACTTTACTGCGGTTCAGTTTTTGCGGCTTCACCGCATTGCATCGTTTTTTTGTTTGTTTGTTTTTTTACTTTTCTGCCCTGCTGTGGGAGTGATCACAGCTGATGTCAATCATGGCCGATGAAAGAGGAGTTTTCTTGAAATGTGGCTGCCACCCATGTGCTGACAATCTCAACATGCACCGTTAAGTGGGCACGTAGAGAACAAATGTGTCCCCATGGCAATCAGGATTTGTGCCCCACAGCAGATGCGCTGTGTTAAAAAAATAAAGCCCTGTCTCTTTTCCAGCCAGTAGTGTTCTAATAATCACGTAAGCAACCTGCTGCCCCTAGTGGTAATGTTTCATATGTCTTATAGTAAAGAAAAAGTGCTGCACATGAAAGATGATTTTAAACCAGCTTGATTCTGTTTGACTGTATTGCAGGTTTTAAATGTTGCACGTTTTTTAATTTTTTTTTTATTTTAGCATTTAATTCTGAGATTCTACACTTTGAGAATCGCTGGTTCATGAAATGAAAGCTCTCCTTCCCTAAGAGACGCCTGGCCCTCCCCGTCTGCAGTTAAGTAATATGCGGGGCTAGGTTGTCACGTTTGTCTCCCCCTTGGATGGGCGCGCGTGGATGACGCACAAGCGGCCAGCGGGCGCGTGCGTCTGGAGGATGTCGGGGAGGGTTTCGGACGTCATGACGACAGGTCCATTCAATCCACTCGTTCAGCAAAGACGACAGGAAGGCGTGCGGATGTGTTTAGGGATTGAATCTCATCAGCGCGCGAGGCTGCGACCTCGTGGGGAGAAGTGAAATCCACACGTGACGTCACACGCTCGGATGTCTTCCGAAGGACGGAAGGCGAGGCGACACTTGGACTACTCAACAAGTTGTTGATTTTTTTTTTTTCTCGAAGCGAAGCGGAAGAGGACGCCGTCATCATCCTCGTTCTCATTAGCGCGCGTCCTTGTGGACGCGATGTCACGGAAGGTCCTCGCGAGGTGACCGTGTTCAGAGCAGCAGCCATCCAGTCGTTGTTTTTTTGGGAGGGGGGGTTCGGGGGCGTGAGCGAGGCTTCGGTGGCGTCTTCCCTCCTCCATCACCCTTCTCGTTTTTTCTTTTCTTTTTTCCCCTTTTTACCCCACCCGTGAACGTCGTCACCGCGCCTTCCGTGGCGACTCAACTCGGGCTGGCGTGCCTCCGATTGGGAGCCTAATTTAGTGCGCCCCTCACTGCCCACCGACGACACCCCCCCCCCCCCTCTTGAAAGCGAACCCAACGCCCTTGCTCGCCTGTATGTCCACCCGATCATCCTTCGTCGTGCGCGGGGGGGGAAAGGGATGACATTGCGTGAGCGTCGGTGAGATCCGGCGTTGTTTCCACTGCCGGCTCGGGAGACCGGCGATCCGTTGCCGATGTGACCGGCGTCGGCGCGATGAGGGCGGCTGTGGAGAGGCGAGAGAGGGCCTCTGGCGGAGCTGTCAAGGACGAGGAAGGAGAGTAAAAACATCTTTGAGGACCAACGTCACGCGCTGCCACCAAATGGAGATTGATTCTGCGCCCCAAAGGCACAATGACTTTTTGAATATTTTGGATTTATTTTACTCATCTGTTAGGGGGGAAATTCAAGTCACACTCTGCCGTATATTTGCTTTGAATCAACACTACTGGAGAACCATTTGACGCACGTGCGGACATGCAAGGAGAGATGTCAGCGTCTAAGTCGCGCACCTCTTGAACTGGGGGGGATTGGGGTCGGTGCCTTGCTCAAGGGCACTTCAACATCTCTCAAACAACTGTTGCCATACTTAAACTGTGAGCCAAAACCCGACAGATGACCTGCAGCTCAAAATACTGTTGATATATATATTTCCCCCCCCCCAGTAATTTTGATCCTCCTCACGGATGGATGGGGTGGTGGGGGGTGCGGGGACGCCCAGTAGCGCAGGAGGCTCCGGGGGGGACAGCCTCCCCCGACGTAACGGAGCCGAGTCGAAGAGACGCAGCAAGGGCAGCCTCCCCTCGCCGGGCTACAGGCTGTCCCAGGTGTCCCTAGAGGGCGAGAAGGCTTCTTTCGGGGGCGACCCTGCCGCCCCCTCGGGAGGACGCGGCCGCCGCCTCTCCATCATGAGCTCGGGCCACCCCTTCCGCACCGCCGGCACGCCGACCACCCCGGTGCCTCTCGCTCACCCTCCGCCCCGCTCGGTGGGATTCGCCCCCTCCCGTCCCGCCCTGGCTTCCACCTCCTCGTCGGCGGGCACGGGGGTGATGGTGGTGGCCACCGGACCGGAGACCACCACCACAACCGCGTGCAACACCACAGCGGCAGGGACACCCGAGACGATGGGACCGTCGGCGCTGGGCGGGTTCGGCCTGGGGCTGGACGGAGAGGACTACAGCCAGTCCAACCAGAGCACCTTCATCCAGAGGCAGTTCGGAGCCATGCTGCAGCCCGGCGTCAACAAGTTTAGCCTGCGCATGTTCGGATCCCACAAGGCCGTGGCTCTGGAACAGGAACGACTTAAGTCGGCCGGCGCCTGGATCATACACCCCTACAGCGACTTCAGGTAAGACAAACACGCACGTACACAGAGTACAATTAGTCAACTCGATTTTTCAGTGGGCTTTACTTTACTCGAGTATGTTTTTTTTTTTTAAATTATTACAATTGAACACAGATCTGTCCAGTGTCTTCTACTCAACCTTCAGTTTTTAAGCAAGACCCAGGTCAATATAAAACGAAAACATTGTTGGTGATTCGGTGGACAGCACTGCACAAGTGTGCATGCAATAACTGGACTTGGTTGCCACAAATATCGCACAAATGTCCCTACCCCACCCCAAAAAAAAATTAAAATAAAAAGAGCACGCTGTGTTCAAAATGCAGATATTTAACTGTAAACAAGATAACTTTATTGTAGTTGCAGTCAACGTCAAGTCATGCATCCGTCATACGTTTTTGCCAAGCAGCTTGTACCTAAAAAAAAAAAGAAAAAGTCGGGCTCGATTCGAATTCGTCTGATTCGAGTCTGACTCAACTTAATTCACGTAACTTGAGTGACCAATTTCTGGATGCGTTTTTGCCAAGCAGCTTGTACCTAAAAAAAAAAAGAAAAAGTTGGACTCGATTCGAATTCGTTTCATTCGAGTCTGACTCGACTTAATTCACGTGACTTGAGTGACCAATTTCTGGAGAGAGGGAGACAACAAGGGTTGAAATCTTGGAGATGTATAAGGTACATATTAAAAAGAAACAAGAAAATCAAACAGTGACAGGAGTAACATAATCAAGCACAATCCAGGGAGCCTTGATGATGATGGCAACTGATCTCGAGAAGCAAATTATTCGCCCCACTCATGGCCTTATCGAAGAGAATTTATTTGATGTTATCGGCGCCAAGGATGATTTCATGCAAATCCGTTGTGGCAACTTCCGGCCTTTGGAAATTCTTGATCCAATTTTTATTTGGCTTTCAGTATGCATTTTGTTCTGTTTGTTTGTTTGTTGTTGTTGTTTTTTTTTTTAAAGTGGCAACTTCCGGCCTTTGGAAATTCTTGATCCAATTTTTATTTGGCTTTAAGTACGCATTTTGTTTTGTTTGTTTGTTTGTTTGTTGTTTTTTTTTTAAATTTAACCCTTTCAGGGACAGCGGTTACTACAGTGGACATCTTCCCATGCTATAAGGTTCCAGGATGCACGAAAAGGTTAAGAGCACTTTTTTTGTTGTTTTTTTTTTAAATTTAACCCTTTCAGGGACAGCGGTTACTACAGTGGACATCTTCCCATGCTATCAGGTTCCAGGATGCATGAAAGGGTTAAGAGCACTTTGAATGTTCAGGCTGTGTCTAATGTAACAGTGACTTACAATATTTTGGATACTTTGGTGGTACTTGGATAGTCCAATATTTCTTGAGGTGCTACTCTGTGTAAAATATTTGAGAATCACCAGTCAATACTGTTCTTGGCTGGCGATCAGTCTTGGCTGTAGCCTACCTCTCACCCCAAATCAGCTGGAATTGGCCCCAGCTCAACAAGGATAAGTGGTCTAGGAAATGCATTGACAGGAGATCACGGCACACTTAAAAATCAAGAGTCGCTGGCGGCGGGGGAGGAGGCGAAGATTT